GCGCGGGGCCGACGGGGCCACTAAGGGCGAGCGCGGGGCCGACGGGGCCGTAAGGGGCGAGCGCGGGGCCGACGGGGCCACTAAGGGCGAGCGCGGGGCCGACGGGGCCGTAAGGGGCGAGCGCGGGGCCGACGGGGCCACTAAGGGCGAGCGCGGGGCCGACGGGGGGCCTCTAGGGAGGCGAGTGCGGGGCCGACGGGGCCGTAAGGGGCGAGCGCGGGGCCGACGGGGCCGTAAGGGGCGAGCGCGGGGCCGTAAGGGGCGAGCGCGGGGCCGTAAGGGGCGAGCGCGGGGCCGTAAGGGGCGGACGCGTGGGCAGACGGGGCCTTAAGGGGCGGCGCGCGGGTCGCTAAGGGGCGGGTCGCGGGTCGCGGGGCCTTAGGGGGCCGTGAAAAACGAGGCGCCCTAGGGCGCAGGTAGGTAGGTAGGTAGGTAGGTAGTGGTGGGCCCTTAAAAAAAACGGTCCTAGCGAAGGACCTGCTCTGAAACCATGTCAGAATGAACGGACTGGAATGATTGAACTAACAGAGAAATCAGTACAAGTACCTAACCCTAGAATTGTGTACCCCCTATAGGCTAACCCACTGTAGCCTAAACAAACACAACATATATAATGTTCGACATATGTATGTATGTATGTATGTATGTATGTATGTATGTATGTATGTATGTATGTATGTATGTATGTATGTATGTATGTATGTATGTATGTATGTATGTATGTATGTATGTATGTATGTATGTATGTATGTATGTATGTATGTATGTATGTATGTATGTATGTATGTATGTATTTGTGTGTGTATGCATGTATGTATGTATGTATGTATTTGTGTGTGTATGCATGTATGTATGTGTGTGAATGCATGTATGTATGTCCGTCGTATCAAGTATAAAAACTTAAAGGTTGCCTACAAAACAGAAGGTAGTGGGTATGAAATTGTTGAGAACAAGGTGTAGGTCAGTTGCGATCCCCCAGAGTCGAGGTGGAACACCTTGATAAATGTACACAAAAGACAAAACAATGTAACAAGGATAGATTGGGATTGAGATCCCGAAAATGCAACCCCCTAGTTAAATTGTTCTATTGCATACATTCTAGATCGTCATAACTAATACCGCTACTGTACCAGAAACAACAACATCGATCTTAAAACATGCCCGAAGTGTACATCAACACTCCTTGACAAACATCACCGCTTTCATGCATCAGTTCGGCATATTCCCCTGTCTAGATCATCCCCGCCAGCCTGGTCGAGATTCACGCACCTGGCAGCCATTCGTCGTCAACCCATCTTGCTAGACAGCACAGAAACCGAAACCTGTGGTGTTCGTTTCTTGTGCCACCCCAAGCCGTTTGTTCAATTGGTTTAGACAAAAGTCTTCACTAACACTTTCGTGAAGCGTCGCTGAACCAATGGATGTTCGTCACATGTCACGAAAACCGGATTTGCCGCGTTTGAACAAATCTTCGCCCCAACGCGGCATCCCAGATTTACGCGCATTTCGCCCGCCCTCAACTGTGGCCAGCCACCACGACATCCTTCGATTCAAGTGGTGTTTTGCGCAAGGACATGATGTGTTGTGATTGTTGTAATTTTCAAATTTGATGGCAAGGTTTTAGTGGAATGATCTTTATTTATATATTATACATTACATGAATGTAAAGACATCGGCAGTCGTAACTGGTTTTAGTGGAAAGATAAAGTGTGCTTGAGTGATTCTTACAATACAGATTCGGCTTAAAAAAAATTCAGACAGTAAAAACGCGGGTTGAAATGGCTGAAATTCCCCTGGATGAACTATCATCTGGCCGCCGTGAAAGTTCACGACAGCAAAATCAAATCAAAATCCAAACGTAATCATTCATTTCCCTACTACGTATTTGTCTCAAGCGAGTTGCGAAAGCTGGTGCTGTTGTTGTGCTGCGAGGGAGGAACGCTAGGCTTTGGCTACTGTAACCGTCCAACCAATGGCTGCCCTACCCTGCCCTGCCCTCCCCCCCTCCCTCCTGCCCCACCCCCACCCACCTCTTCCTCACCTTCTCTAGGGTTTGCTTGCTTGTGATAAGATCAGAGCCCACATCCAGCTTTTATATTTTAGGTAGAGCTTTCACAGAATATTCAGACCCTGAATGTTCCCCAGCACCAAGAGCACTTCTCATTGCGTCTCCTGCTAGAAGTGCCGCTTCACTGCGTCTCCTTGACGTCGTCTATTATATTTTTCTTTTTTTTTAGAGATTAACTTATTCTCCGATTATCAGCCATGGGGATTCCTGCTGCGGGCCAAATTGAGATTTTTAAATGGCTCAAATACGGAGAGAAGGTGCTCTCATCCAAAGGAGGACCGACAGTAACAAGGTAAGGACGAAAAGACATCATATCCTAAGAGTATCCGTAACTTCTGGCCCACTTTTTTTGAGAAATTTATGTGCATTTCTTCATTTTGAATGTAAGAGTCATGGCTCAAGTGCGGACATGTCGACTAAGCACGGATTTTGTCTTGCTCTGCAGGCTTTACTTCAAATGCAGCCACGGAGTGAACACGGAGAAAGGCCGTGCTGGTTTCCTCTGCCCTGCAAGGAAGATCGTGGATGTGCGCACAGAAGAAGTCACCGCAAGCAATGCAACTGCGTCTCCAGATAACCGGGGATCATGTGCCGAGCCTTCCACGGCTTCTCCATCATCATCCACGTCAACATCTTCAGGAGGCGAAGCGCCATCAAACAGCTCCCATGCTCATACGACGACGACCTTTCGCCACTCCCACAACCACCAGACGCTGGCATCGTCGTGGGTGAGCCCTCGCCGCGGCATGGCTGCTACTACTGCACGATGCCGCACTCCCACTACTTCCACTTCTGCTGCCAATGCCGCCTCCAATGGCAGTGCCAGTGCTGGAGCCACCCAGCTCCATCCTACATCTGGAGCTGCTGCTCCTCTGGTTGGCCAGAAGCGAAGATGGTCCTCTTTGGCCTCTACATGTGATGGATCGGTGATAGCGGCCACAGCAGCACCTTCGCCTGTGATTTGCAGCGCCGCTGCTTGCAAGTCCCAGTCCCAGACACCTGTGGTAGCATCTGTTGGTGCTGCATCAACTGTGGCGGCTGACAAGACTCCTACAACTCTCCCAATCAGACCTGTGGCTATCCGGTGCGTGACATCTCCAGTGAAGGCATCAAATGCGCCCATCAGCATGGGGAGCCGTGGAGCCTTCACTGCAGTAAATGGCAGAGCTCTCACCAATGTGGCGCACGGCCTTCCATCTGCTGTGACCATGCGTGCGCCAATGAAGAGAGCTTCAACATCAAGCGAGAGCATATCACAAAACGAAACTGCAGGCTCAAGTGCGACAACGTTGGTTTCAGCCAGCCTATGTCACCCTGCGGCATCGGCGTTAACCCGTTCCGGCAGCAGCAAGATGATGTCGTCGCCGCTCGCAACAATGGTGCCCCAATCTTCAAGTGCAGCGGCATCTCTCCTGCAGCAAACCTCTGTTCCAGTGGATGCATCAGAGGCATTGCGACTAAGCCGCTCGTCCAGTCAGTCATCTGCTGTTACCACGCAATGTGTGCCTCTTGCTGCTGGGGGAGGTGCTGCTTTCGCTAACAGTGGCTGGACTGCAGTCCCTGGCATCTCAAGTCCTCGGGCTGCTGCTACTTTGCGTGCTGCACCTGCCACGGCTCCTGCAAGCCATGGTCCTCTTGCTTCCTCTGCTCCTGGTGGTGACAGCCCAATTGAGTCAACGCTTGCCGAATGGCATCCCTGTGTCAAGTCTAATGCAGCGATGGGTGCTGCAGATGCGGTTCAGATAACAGAATCAGGGCTTCAAGCGTCTAAAGTCAGCCCGAGGAAGGCCATTGGCCTGGGTCTTACGGAGCATCTGAGGAGGTTTCAGAGTGGATCGGTGGAGGAACTTAGCGCCCTTCATGGTGTGCTGGGGGCTGATCAAGATGGGCCGTCGCTTGGGCTTGAGGACACCAGCACGCTCAAATCTGCACCTTTGGTAGACCTAGAGTTGAGACTTTCTTTGGGCTAGATGCATTGGGTATGGTAATGTGGTTGAATAAAATGCTGTGTCTGGCACTTCCCCCACCACTGGCAGCAATAGCTTCTAGTCCGTGTAGCATGCAAGCCATAGCCCCTTCTGTTAAACTAGCTTGTAACATAGTTATGCTGTTAGTTGGTCCAGCATGTTAATGAGAACAAAAGGAGTATCAATTTATGCTCCATGTAAGAAAGTGCATCTTAACTTCAGCAAACGCGCTCCACACGTACACGTGGGTTGGTGGGGAGGCGGGCTGCAAGAGGTGTGAGAAAAAGGGGAGGGCGGAGAAAGATGCGAGAGGCTAGAGGGACAGGGGGCATTTGGCTGCACTGCAACATGGTGGAGGTGGGGTGCGAGAGGCGAAAGGGAAGAGAGACGTGCATCATGGTTCAAAGTGGATGGAAAAGGCGCCTAAGCAAACACAAAGTCGCCCCAGCAGCTCATACGGTAACTTGCCTAAGCAGGACCCACCATCGCACCAGGCTCGCCTGTGCTTTGCTGCTGCACCACCCCAACAAGCCCAACCTGGCCCATCATAAGCCTCAACCCTTGAGATGCCTCCACATCTTGACATGTCTCAAAATCCCGAGATGTCTCAAATCCCCGCCCGCCCCTTGCTGCTGCACTGCCCGAACGGGCCCAACCTGATCCACCAAATGTCTCAAGCCTTGAGACGTCTCAAAACCTTGACGAGTCTCAAAACCCCACCTTTCCTTGCTGCTGCGCGACCCGAACGAGCCCAACCTGATCACCAACTCAGCTCCAGCGAGTGCAAGATCTGCTGTGTGGCACCGGTGGCTCAAAGACACTCCAGCAAGCTCTAATGTGCCTCAGAATGCCCTACCATTGCCGCTGAGGCCTAGCAGTTCCCTGCTGCTGCACTGCCCACACCAGCCCAACCTGGTCCACCAAACGGCTGAGCCCCAGCAGACGTCATATAAGGTTGGAATGCCTCAATACCCGCCCGCTCCTTGCTGCTGCGCTGCCCGAACCAGACCAACCTGGTCGATCAAATGGCTGAGCCCCAGCGGGTGCAAGATCTCCTCCGTGGCACCATTGGCCTTCACCCCTGCATCAATCATTTCCTCCAGCACCCCCCGCACCTCACTCACAAAATCCCCGCCTCCCGCCTCTTCTCCTGCTCCATCCCCCCTCCTCTTCCAGTCGTTAACAATGGCAGTGAGAATGGAGTTGAAGAGGTTTGCATCGGTGCGATACATGGTCCTCGCAAGTCCCACCAGCTCCCGCACCTTCCCCACATCCCCCGCCTCCACAAACCCGCCCAGCACCTCGGCAAACGCGTGGAACGGCAGCTTCATCCGCGCCCTGTGCGCGCCGGCCGCCACCGCGTCGTGTAACGTGGTAACCGCGTCGTCGATCTGGTTGGCGGAGAGGTAGCCGCGGAGGAGGTGCAGGAAGGTGATTCCGTCAGGGCGCATGCCCGCTGCGTCCATCTGAATGATTGTTTCCTTGGCCTTGGGGAACAGGTGGTTGTGTGCGTATGCGAATACCAGGGAGTTGAATGTCTCGGTTACTGGCGCCTGCTGCAACCTCAGCTCTTGAAAGGCCTGCAGGGGAGAGGGTGGGGATGGGTGAGGTAGTAAGGGTTGGGAGGAGCAAGGGAGAGGAGATGAGACTGTGGGTGGGTGGGCTCAGAAGGCAAGGGAGACGGCCGCATGGAAGGTGATGCCGCCGGGGCGCATGCCCGCTGCGTCCATCTGAATGATTGTTTCCTTGGCTTTAGGTGGTTGTGCGCATAGGCAAACACGAGGGAGTTGAATGTCTCGGTTACTGGCGCCTGCTGCAACCTCAGCTCTTGAAAGGCCTGCAAACGAGGGTGGGGAAAAGAGAAGTTGTGGATGGTTCAGGAGAGCCACGGTGACATTTTCAAAGCGAGAGGACTTGAACGTTTTGGTCAGTGGGTTCTCTTGCAAGACCCGATGAGGGTGAGAGTGAACGGCATGTGGACCCACACAGAGGTGTGCCTATGGATGGCAACAACATTTTCATTGCTCACATGCCACTTGTGTAAGTGACTTTAGACGAGACCTAGTTGAGACGTCTCAAAACTCATCTCGGAATTTTGAGACATGACACACGCTTGTGATTTTGAAAAAAGACCTTTGGGTAACACTGCGATAATATTTGGCCGAACAGCTGTTCAGCGCTTGCAGTCTTGGCTACCCAAGCGGAACTCGAGACGTTCCAAAAAGCAGCACTTGCAATCTTGCAATCCAAAGGGAATTCTAAGACTTCTCAAAAGGCCGCGCTTGCAGTTTTGTGTTGGCTACCCAATGGGTCACCACGAAAGAAATTTGTGAGCGCCAATTGGTTACCACAACTGTACGAGGCAGTTACCCTCTGCACTCACACACGCACGCACGCATGCACGCACGCACGCACGCACGCACGCACGCACGCAGCCCCCCCCCCCCCCCCCCCCCCCCCCCCGCCTCCCCCCCCCCCCCCCCCCCCCCCCCCCCTCCCCCCCCCCCCCCGCCCCATCCCCACCCCATACCCCCCCCCCTACCCCCCCCCCCCCCCCCCCCCCCCCGCTCCCCACCCCCGCCCCATACCCCCCCCCCCCCCCCCCCCCCCCCCCCCCCCCCCCCCCCCCCCCCCCCCCCGCTCCCCCCCCCCCCGCCCCCCCCTCCCGCTCCCTTCTCCCCTTACCTCCCCCTTCCCCCCCGCTTCCCCCCCTCTCTTCCACTCACCTGCTCCGCCTTGGCCACATCGCCCGCCAGCCCATAGCCCTCTATGCGCGCCTTGTGCAGCATCCTGCATGGCACACGGTGGGAGGAGCGGACGGGAAGTGAGAAAAGAGACGGAGCGGCAGTGGATGGGAAGGGAGAAAGGGGACGGAAAGGCAGTAGATGGGAAGGGATAAAAGGGATGAAACGTTTGAATGAAAGCGCGGAGCCCATAGCCCCTACTCCCTAGCCGGCAAGGGAGTGCACAGAAGAAGGGAGATGGGACAAGGAGGCGTGACGAGGGAGGAGGGTAGAGGGAAGAGTGAGGAGTGAGGAGGGAGGAGGGAGGAGGGAGGAGGGAGGAGGGAGGAAGGAGGAGGGAGGAGGGACGAGGGACGAGGGACGAGGGACGAGGGAGGAGGGAGGAGGGAGGAGGGAGGAGGGAGAAGGGAGAAGAGAGAAGGGATAATTGATGGATGAAAGCCCACAACCATCCCCATCACACACACCCATACCCATCACGCCATCACCATCCCCATCGCAACCATACCTCGTCATGGGCACGTTTGACGCCAGCAAATCACTCCAAGTCGCTTCCAGCTTATCCACCTGCCCTTTTGAGTTGACTCAAAGGTCACCCCAAACCTCGTCCCTACCACATCCCCCTATCCCACCACATCACATCCATACCCCATCACATCACACCCAACCATACCTTGTCATCGGCACGTTCGATGCAAGCAGCTCACTCCAAGTCGCTTCCAGCTTATCCACCTGCCCGCTCTGCCCATACGCCTTCAGCATAGCGGCATACGTGCCTCTATCAGGACCCGCTCCCGACGTCTTTAATCTCCTCTCCCACTCCAGTGCCTTTTCCGGCTCCCCGTGGGTCACATAGGCTGAGATCAGAGCGTTCATTGTCGCCAGATCTGGTTTCAGGTTGTAATTTTCCATCTGCCCGAGGTAGTGCTCCATTTGTTTGAGCTGCCCGGCCCTGCCGAGACCGGCCAGGATGATGTTGAATGTGATTGTAATGGGGGTGAAGCCCTGCGGGCAAGATAGGGAAGAGAAATAAAGAGAGTCAGAGGGAACAAGGGCGTAGGAAAGTAAGAGAGGAAGAGAGAAAGGGGGAGGCGAAGGGAGAAGCAGGAGAGAAAGCACAGTGTGTGCATGGCGAGGTTGCAGTGATTCAGTTATTAAGGCAGCATGTGATCAATGCACATGGTGTCTCAAAAAATGCATGGCGTGCGCACGGCATGGTTGCACTGTCCCCCCACCTTTCCCCTGCCCCACCTTGCTCCTCATCTCACCCATGATCGCTGCAATACCCGCCACCACACTTGCCCGCCTCTTGCCCGCCCCTCTACCCCAAACCACCCCCCCACCTCTTTCCCAAAATCTTCCCCAACGTGCTTTTCCTCTAATGCCCCACCTTGCTCCTCATTTCATCCATGATAGCAGCAATGCCCGCCACCATGCCTGATCGCCTCCTGCCTGCCAGCAGCGCCTGCAGCCACCCCATACCCATCCCGTGCGGTGCATTACCTTGCTCCTCATTTCATCCATGATAGCAGCAATGCCCGCCACCATGCCTGATCGCCTCCTGCCTGCCAGCAGCGCCTGCAGCCACCCCATACCCATCCCGTGCGGTGCATTACCTTGCTCCTCATTTCATCCATGATAGCAGCAATGCCCGCCACCATGCCTGATCGCCTCCTGCCTGCCAGCAGCGCCTGCAGCCACCCCATACCCATCCCGTGCGGTGCATTACCTTGCTCCTCATTTCATCCATGATAGCAGCAATGCCCGCCACCATGCCTGATCGCCTCCTGCCTGCCAGCAGCGCCTGCAGCCACCCCATACCCATCCCGTGCGGTGCATTACCTTGCTCCTCATTTCATCCATGATAGCAGCAATGCCCGCCACCATGCCTGATCGCCTCCTGCCTGCCAGCAGCGCCTGCAGCCACCCCATACCCATCCCGTGCGGTGCATTACCTTGCTCCTCATTTCATCCATGATAGCAGCAATGCCCGCCACCATGCCTGATCGCCTCCTGCCTGCCAGCAGCGCCTGCAGCCACCCCATACCCATCCCGTGCGGTGCATTACCTTGCTCCTCATTTCATCCATGATAGCAGCAATGCCCGCCACCATGCCTGATCGCCTCCTGCCTGCCAGCAGCGCCTGCAGCCACCCCATACCCATCCCGTGCGGTGCATTACCTTGCTCCTCATTTCATCCATGATAGCAGCAATGCCCGCCACCATGCCTGATCGCCTCCTGCCTGCCAGCAGTGCCTGCAGCCGCGCATTGAACGATGGGATGCCCTCCGCCACGCCCTGCTGCCGCAGCCAGTCCACCTGGGAAACGGAGAGACGGAGAGGCGGAGAGAGGATAGAGGGCATTTGAGTGATCTAGGCAAGCAGCCAGGCGTTGAACGATGGAATGCCCTCCGCCACGCCCTGCTGCCGCAGCCAGTCCACCTTGGGGTGTAGAGAGCAGGAGTGGGGGAGACAAGGAGGGGTGAGAGAGATGAGAGATTGAGGGGTTGAACAAGGGAATGCCCTCGGGCACGCCCTGCTGCCACAGCCAGTCCACCCGCGGGCCAGGAGTGATGGAGAGAAGGCGAGGTGAGGGAGAAAGGATGGGTGGGGAAAGGGAGAAACGCCATTTGGGGTTGGAACAAGGGGATGCCCTCCGGCACGCCCTGCTGCCGCTGCCAGTCCACCTGGGGGGGCAGGAGAGATGGGGAGAAGGCGAGGGGAGCGCACGTAAAGAATGGGTGAAAGGGTCAATAGTCATTCGCGCGTTGAAAGAGCGGATGCCCTCGGGCACGCCTTGCTTCTGCAGCCACTACACCTGGGAGGGAGAGACGGAGAGGAGGGAGGAATAATGTAGAGCAGCAAGAGTGAGGCCAGGAAAGGAGGATTAAAAGAAAGGATGCTTAGGCAGCTTAGGGCAGAGGATAGCAGTCGAAGGCAGGAAAGGAAGGAGAGGTAGAAGAAGCATTACACACACCTTAGCAGGCACACCCGAGGACAACGCTCATGCCTTCACAGCACCCAATTCCTGAACCAACATTTTTTTTCAAGGGGAGGTGCTACCTGGGGTGTGGCGTACTTGGGGCAGGCGTTATCTTGGCAGATGAAATCTTACCTGTGTCTCGATTGACATGAATCTCCCCCGCCTTGCCACGTGGCCAAACACTGGCTGGTACACCTGCGGTGCAGACCACGGACAGGGGAGGAAGGGGGACACAGGGGTGGAAGAGGGTTGGGCAGAGAGTGGGGGGGAGAGAAGAGGGTTGCGTAGAAGAGGGGGAAAAAGGGTTGGGCAGAGGGGGGGAAGAAGAGGTTTGGGCAGAGCGGAGGAAAAAGAGGGTTGGGCGGAAGGAGGGAGGGAGGGGGGATCTAAGGTCGAGGAAAGGGAAGGAGGTAACATCCAGATGCAAAAAAAGCAGTATGCTTTGGACTCGCCTCCTCTCAACAACTCATCTTCTCTGATATGATCTGATCTTCTCTAATCTGATCTGATCTTCTCTGATCTGATCTGAACGGCTGTGGGGCAGGTGACTCGACTCGACACGACTCGTGCCCATGTCTAGCACGCACGCCTCCTCTCTTCCCAGCTCACCTTCTCTGTTCTAAACAGCTCCGGGAAGGAGAGGAAGAGTGCTAAGCAGCTGCAACATGGCGAGCAAGTGTGAATCGACTTGTGCTCCTATATATTACACACCACCTCCGTTCTAAACGGCTGCGGGAAGGAGAGGAAGAGGGCTTGGGCGGCTGCCACGTTGCGGGCGCGGGTGAATCAACTTGACCCGACTCCTGCCCTCATGTCTGACTCAGCTCCTCCCCGACTCACCACTTCTCTCGGAACTTACCTTTTCGGTCCGGAATGGTTGTGGGAAGGAGAGGAAGAGTGCCTGGGCGGCCGCCACGTTGCGGGCGCGGATGACAGCAGAGAGTGCCAGCTGGTAGTCCGCCTCTAGACGGGGGAAGCCCGGCTGCTGCACAAACCACTCTGCTACCTGCGGTGATGGGAGGGAATGGGAAGGAGTGAAGGAGAGAGGGTCAAGGGGAGAGGGAACGACAGCAGAGAGCGCGAGCTGGTAGTCGGCCTCCAGGCGAGGGAAACCAGGCTGCTGCACAAACCACTCTGCTACCTGCGCTTGTTTATAAATAGAAGGGGGAGGGGAAGTGGAAAAGAGGGATGGGGTGGGTGGGGTAGATCAGGAATTTACAGGCCTTCAGGACAGAGAGCGCCAGTTGGCTGCTTCAGGTAGTCTGCTTCTAGGCAGGGGAAGCCTGGCTGTTGCACGAACCACTCTGCCACCTGCGGTGATTTGAGGGAGAGGTGGGGGGGTGTGCGGAGAGGAGGGAAAAGAGTGGAAGGGCAGGGAAAACTAGGCGCCTTAGAAGAAGTAACACCAGGATGAAACCATGAACTTCAGACCTGCAAACCCCTACGCACGTATATAACCCCAAACCTGCAACCTGCTGTGCATGAGATGTCAACCCAAACAAAACCCTGACCCTGACACTGCACCACCCCTGCCTATACAGAACCCTAAACCCTGAAACTGCACCACCCCTAGCTATGCAGAACCTTAAACCCTGAAACTGCGCCACCCCTACCCATACAAAACCCCGAACCCTGACACTGCACCACCCCTACCCATACAGAACCCTAACATTGACCGTGCAACACCCTTACCCATACAAAATCTTAAACCCTGACACTACAACACCCCAACTACCCACCCACCCCACACACACCTCTGCAGCCTGCTTGGGGCGGCGGTGGTTCTTGAGCCTCTTAATGAGCTGTACACGGGGAGAGTGTGGGTGAGAGGGGGAGTGAGGCATGGCGCCCTCAGAACAGGGCAGGGAACAATACTCAGAATTCTCAGAAATTGGTCAGCTGACAGGGGTTGTGCGAGGGTGAGAGAGGAGCCAGCAAACCCAGAGGAAGGGACAGGGAGGAAGAGAAATGCAGGTGAAAGGGGGGAAGGAGTGTGCCAGGAAACAAGGGGCAAAGGGTGCATACAAGCGTGGATCCGTTTTTCCAATGCACTATGTCAAGGAACACTGCTGCTGGCACTAAAAATCAACAGTTGTCGTTTAAGTCGACAGTGGTGTTGCCTACCTGCGTAGCCAGACGCATGTCTACGGTGTTTCCGTTGCTCTCCCACGCCCTCACAATGGGCATGACATGGTTGCTGTCTGGCAGCTCCTTGACGTGCTGCCACAGCTGCTCCAGCGGGGCTGGAAGGGGTGGGAGCAGGGCAGAGGAGAATAGCCTGAGTTGTGTGAAACACCTAAGCAGTGACAATGGGCATGGCGTGGTTGCTGTCTGGCAGCTCCTTGACGTGCTGCCACAGCTGCTCCAGCGGGGCTGGAGGGAGGAGAAGGGGGGAAAGGACGAAAACACAGCAAACAAAGGACGTCTGGAAGGAATAAGACGCCAGGCTGTTTCCGCCCAAACTGCCGCAGCCTAACTTGCCACTGTTAGCCTGCACAGGGCCGGCCCACTGTCAGCCTGCACAGGGCCGGCCCACTTTCCAGCCCGTGTCAGGTCGAAAAGTGGCGCGCACTGCAACACCTCGCTACCCACTGGGTCAAAACGAGGGTGTTAATTCGGCGCAGCGGGTGCCATTTAACAAAGCTTACCGGCGTCACATGCACGATTCGACTCGCAGACGTCACTTCTAGGCAGAAAAACCTTTGGCTGCAAAACTTTTGGCGCTCCTGCCACCCTCAAGTTACCTTTTCGCAAGCTCCGGCTGAACGCGATCCGGCCAAACCCCTCCCGATCTGGCCGAACCCCTCCCAATCTGGCTGAACCCCTCCCGACCTGAGCAACCCCCTTTACCCCTGCCCACGGTGGTCAACAAGGGGACCATAATTCTGACCAGGCCTGCGGCCCGACTTGGGCCAGGCACAGCCCTCAAGCAAGCCGGGCCAGGGTGCCTTTTCAGTCCACTCAAAAATCACCAGGCAACCAAGCCTAGGTTGGGCCGGGGCAGGCCGGTCCTGGTCCGGCCCATGCTCATGCCTAGGGAGGACGAAGCGGTAGGGGACGGACAGGGGGAGAAACGGTTGGGGTTTTGGGGTAGTTCCCAAAACCCATAAACTTGTCCCATGGTATGCCACGCCACATCATCCCATTTCAAGCCATCCCAAACCATCCCAAACCATCCCATCCAGTCCCAACCCATTCCATTCCTGCCATCCCATGTCATGCCACATGACTCCCCCCTTTCACTCACTCTGCAACCCAGAGACTTCCGCATTTACCCCACCACCTCCGCCGCTGCTTCCCCCAGCCTCCACCGTTCCGCCCTCGGCCCCCTCCGCGGGAACCTGCGCGTCCCCTGTGCCCTCCGCCATTGTGGAAAACTCCTCCCCCGAACTTCCCTCCGCTGCGGGGGAATCCCCTACCTCCGCGACAACCTGCGCCGTCCCCTCGCCTTCCGCGCCCGCGCTGTCCGCCGATGGAGTGTACCCGCTGCTGCTGCTGCTGCTGCCGCCGCCGCTGTCGCTGCTGCCGGTGCTGCTGCTGGCGGTACTGTCATTGCTGCTGCTGTCGCTGCTGATACCGTCTTTTGCACTAATCGACGAGTACATTCCGCCTGCGGCTTTTGAATGGAACGGACTCCTAAATCGCTGCGCGCTATAAAGCGGACACGACGACACGGACTCTCGACGAATCCTGCTGTGACTATATCGAGCGCCAAGCTGAGAGGCGGCGAGCGGAGCAGCCTCGCGAGCACAGGGAGAAGGCGACAGGGCGGGGAAGAGGACGCGACGCGCGACTGCGGCGACTGAATGCACATAGCAAGCGGTAGCGGCGGCGGCGGTGGCGGCGGAGGTAGCGGGGGCGTGGATGGCGGAGGATGGGGTGATCGGGTCGAAGATCGCGTCAGGCGAAGCGGCAGACGCGGCAGAAGAGGAAAGGGCGCTGGCTGGAGCGTGATCGACGGCGCAGGATGCGGCGCACGATGAGATCGACGGGATCGCCGACACGCCGCGCGTCTGGTGCGCGCCAAGAGGCGCAGATCCGACGGTCAGTGCTAGATCTGGGAGCCTCGCGACGGCACCGGGCTCGGCGCGCTTGCGATTGAGCGACGCCCGCAGATAGGCGAGCGAACGACCTCTCATGGCTGCTGCTGTTGCTGATTCTGCCCGCAGCGGTGCTGCTAGTGCCGGCGGTGTTGGTGGTGGGTGAAATGGCGAGAGTAACCGTGCGAATGCAAGAGGGATCTGGATGGCGCTCCGGGGTAGCGGGTGGAGCGGATGGGCGTGGGAGTGCGCAGCCGAGAGAGCGCGCAACGACGTCGACTGTCAGTGGGTGCGGGAATTCGGAAGTGAATCTGGGAATTTTCCCAAGGGGTTTAGGCGCGATTGAGGGCAACAGGAAGCTGTTCAAACCGAATGAGTACCGCGTTACAGACTGTTTCACTCATCGTTTAGCACAGATTCGATAAGCAAGCACTGACGGTAACAAATCATACTGTAATGGGTAGAGATAACAAGGAAAAACAATCAGTTGCTAAAAATAAGAAACAAGCAGTTTGATGTATCAAATAAACAGTTAGAAAAAAAAAATTCACAAGTCAATACGTGAAATATCGAACGGCTGATGATACGGCACCATGTTCAGCGCCAGCGTTCCCTGCTCCTCCACTTGCGACCCACGTGCATCACCCCCATTACCATCCATCTCATCAACCACCACCTCCACCCCATCCCCCATCGCCGCACCACCACCATCCCCCAACCCACCCTCATCCTCCCCATCACCCCTCTCCTTCCCCTCACCACCTCCCCCATTCAACCAAACCCCACCCTCACCCCCACCCTCCACCATACACCCATCCTCCAACCCCCCACTGGTATCAGAGCTCTCCAAATAACCACCACCACCACCACCACCATCACCTCCGCCATCCCCCAAGCCTTCCAAGATGGGCTCTAACGGGCTGTCTTCATCAGGCAGAGGCGCGTGCGGGGAGGTGAGGAAGCGCACGACGGAGGCCATGGGGGGCCGCTGGTCGGGGTTGTACTCGAGGCAGAGCAGGGCGATGCGCAGCACCCGCAGGAACTGCTCCTCGTCGAATCCGCTTGCTAGTAACGCCGGGTCTGCGAACGAATCCAAAGCGCCCTCTGAGAGGCATGCCTCGGCCTGCTCGGGGAGCAGAGGGGAGGTGGAGGGTGGTGGAGGGAGGGTAATGCAGAGACGGTCGACAAAACATGAAAATGCAGAGGTGTGATGGCTGGAAACAGGGAGGGGCCTTTGGTCGGAGTTGTATTCATTGCACAGCAGGGCGATGCACAGCACCCCCAGCAACTGCTCCTCATCAAATCCTGCGGCCAGCAGTGCAGGGATGGTGAATGAATCCAGAGGGTGGTGGAGGGTGGTGAAGGTCACACAGCAACTCGAATATACCAATGTCGCAACCATTCCAGCAGGTCAACCCAAGTCAATCGCAGTCAACAACGGTTAACTTAATTTACTCACCACCCCGGCATGTCACCTGTCAACTCTAAGGCAAAGTCAACGCAAGTCAATGCTGGTCTGACCCGTTCGAGCAGGTCCTCTGTGTTGTGGGGCGACTGGCCGGAGAGCAGCTCCAGCAGCACCACTCCGAAGCTGAACACCACCCACTCAAACCCCCAAGTCAACCCAAGTCAACGCAAGTCAACGCTCACCCTCTCCAGAAGGTCCTCTGTGTTGTGCGGCGACTGGCCTGAGAGCAGCTCCAGCAGCACCACTCCGAAGCTGAACACGTCTGCTGCCACGCCCACGCGCTCACTGCCCACGTACTCCGGAGCCACATAGCCCCACGTGCCCAGCACCTGGGAAAAATGGGGTTGGGGTAGGGAAACGAAAAACTCTTCCTCTGTCTGCCCACTCGCTCACTGCCCACATATTCTGGGGCCACGTGTCCCCACGTCCCGCACCTGGGGACGGGGGGACTATGAGGCGGGTTGGGGACATAACTGCTATGCCTGCCCACTCGCTCACTGCCCACGTACTCCGGGGCCACGTATCACGTGCCCAGCACCTAAAGGGGCGGGAGAGGGAGCCAAAAAAGGGGAGTAAATGGAGGGGCATATATCGAATTCGCTAAGTCTGCTGACTCTCTCAATGTCCACGCACTAATTGACTCGTTTGCAGGATGACCTCAATGAGCCCAGAGTCAGAAATCCTGACACAAACAATATTCTTGCATTGCAGGCTTCATATCGCTCCAACATGACTCAACAAAGGTCAAGAACTAAAGGCACAAGAAGGGAGTGCTTTGAGGTGACTCTCAACACCAAACTCACTCTCGTAGACATGTCATTGGCCCCTTGCGGCATGACCTTAACCTCCCCAGCAACGCCCAGCAGGATGTTGGCCAGCTTCACACCGCTTCAATACGATACGACTTGCGCGTCAAGAGCGAATGACTGAGGGAAAGAGAGGGATGCTTTGAGGCAACCCACCCTCGTGGTCATGTCGTCTTGCGGCATGACCTTGGCCAGCCCAAAATCTGCAACTTGGCCTCAATTTCAACATGACTCGACACAAGTCAGGGACCAATAGCGGAAGAAGCGGAGTGAGTTGAGGCGACTCACAAACACACCACTCACCCTCGTGGTCATGTCGTTGACCCCTTGAGGCATGACCTTAGCCAGCCCCAAGTCAGCGAACTTGGCCTCCCCGGTAGCATCCAGCAGGATGTTAGCCGGCTTCACATAGCTTTAGCCAACTCCGGGGTTGAAAAGAAGAGGACAAAAGGAAGGGAACCACTCACCCTCGTGGTCATGTCGTTAACGCCTTGAGGCATGACCTTAGCCAGCCCGAAATCAGCGATCTTGGCCTCCCCAGTAGCGTCCAGCAGGATGTTAGCGGGCTTCACATCGCGGTGGATGATGCGCGGCTCACACTGCTCGTGCAGGTACGCCAGGCCCTTGGCCGATCCTATCGCCACACGCAGCCTATGCTCCCACGTCATTGGATTGTTCTTGTCTGCCCGGTGCGGCGAGGGTGTGGGAAAGAGGAGGGGGAAAAGCAAGAGCTTATTTTTCTGGTGCAGGAAGCAAGACCAGGAGTTTGTTTTTAACATTCCCAGCAGCGTCGAGCAGGATGTTAGCGGGCTTCACATCGCGGTGGATGATGCGCGGCTCACACTGCTCGTGCAGGTACGCCAGGCCCTTGGCTGATCCCACTGCCACTCGCAGCCTGTGCTCCCAGGTCATTGGGTTGTTCTTGTCTGCTTGGTTGAGAAGAGGGTGTGGGAGAGAGAAGGTCGGGAAAAAGGAAAAGCTTATTCTGTCTGGCGCAGGAAGCAAGACCAGAAAGTTGTTTTAGGCCTCCCCGCTAGCGTCCAGCAGGATGTTAGGGGCAGCCTCAGTGAGAGAGGGGCTCGCAGTGCTCGAACAAATAGGCTGGCCCCACTAGCACACGTGCCTCTTGGCTTGATCACCTCTACACACCACACCACACCACACCACACCACACCACACCACACACACCACACCACACCACACCACACCACACCACACCATACCATACCATACCATACCATACCATACCATACCATACCATACCATACCATACCATACCATACCATACCATACCATACCATACCATATCATGTTACACAGCACCACACAGCACCGCATGTTTGCTTGCACTCGAAGTCAAGCTGAGAGGCTGGCCCCCGAAACGAACTCGTAGGCCACAAGCGAGACTCCCCCTCACAGCACAACCCCACCAGATGCACCAAGTTGCGGGGGTGCACACAGGCGTGCACCCCACACCACACACATACCCCATGCCCACACACATACCCCATGCCCACACACATACCCCATGCCCACACACATACCCCATGCCCACACACATACCCCATGCCCACACACATACCCCATGCCCACACACATACCCCATGCCCACACACATACCCCATGCCCACACACATACCCCATGCCCACACACATACCCCATGCCCACACACATACCCCATGCCCACACACATACCCCATGCCCACACACATACCCCATGCCCACACACATACCCCATGCCCACACACATACCCCATGCCCACACACATACCCCATGCCCACACACATACCCCATGCCCACACACATACCCCATGCCCACACACATACCCCATGCCCACACACATACCCCATGCCCACACACATACCCCATGCCCACACACATACCCCATGCCCAAACACATACCCCATGCCCACACACATACCCCATGCCCACACACATACCCCATGCCCAAACACATACCCCATGCCCACACACATACCCCACACAACACACATGCCTGCATGCATGTGCAGCATGTACCTCTCAGCCGCGACAACAGGCTGCCACCGGAAACGAACTCGTAGGCCAGCAACCTCGAGTCCCCCTCACAGCAGAACCCCACCAGCTGCACCAAGTTGCGGTGGTGCACGTGGCCGATCACCTCTATCTCTATGCGATACTCTGCCTCTCCCTGGCCGCCCCCAGGCGTTGCGTGCAGCATCTTCACTGCCACCTCGTAGCTGGGGGGAGGGGACGCGCAAGAGAGGGGGTGACAAGTTGCGGTGGTGCACGTGGCCTATCACCTCTATCTCTATTCTGTACTCCGCCTCTCCCTGGCCGCCGCCTGGTGTTGCGTGCAGCATCTTCACTGCCACCTCGTAGCTGGGAAGGGGACAAGGGGCGGGAAAGTGGGGGTTAAGCAAGGGGGTGCGAGGTGGGCCGGTGGTGCACGTGCACGTGCTCTATCTATCATCTCTACCTCTAACCGGTCTACCTCTAACCGGTACTCTGCATCTCCCTGGGCCCCAATGGTGTTGCGTGCAGCATCTTCACTGCTACCCCGTAGCTGGTGGGAATGCAGGCAGCAGGCATAGGGGAGTGAGGGGAATGAGGAGGGAGGAGAGAGGGCGGGGTGGGGCGTGCTGCAGTGGTGCACATGCCCGATCACCACCTGTGGGGCAGAAGCTGGTAACCCTATCCACATTCAGCTGGTAACCCTATCCATATTCAGCTGGTAACCCTATCCATATTCAGCTTCTGCCTGCAGCATCTCCACTGATACCTCGTAGCTGCCTAGAGCACTGCTGAACAAACGGCAGAGTCTCTTCAAGCCACGCGACGCAACGGCCCGAACCATAAGCATGCATCTCTAGAAATAAGCGAGTAAGAGTGTTCCTGTCGTGTGATGAAGGAACTTTTGAAGGCTCTCAAGAGTCAATCCAATATCGCATACCCGTCAGAGAGGGGAGAGCATACATACCCGTCAGAGAGGGTTCCTCGGTACACGTGGCCAAACCCGCCCCGCCCTATGAGGCGCGAGAAGTGAAAGTTCTCGGTTGCTTCCTGCAGCTCCCACAGCTGAAACTCCGTGAGCCCATCCGCCACCTCGCCTGAGGCCAGCGGGGAAGGGGAAGGAGGGGAAGGGGAAGGAGGGGAAGGGGAAGGAGGGGAAGGGGAAGGAGGGGAAGGGGAAGGAGGGAAGGGGAAGGAGGGGAAGGGGGGAAGGAGGGGAAGGGAAGGAGGGGAAGGGGAAGGAGGGGAAGGGGAAGGAGGGGAAGGGGAAGGAGGGGAAGGGGAAGGAGGGGAAGGGGAAGGAGGGGAAGGGGAAGGAGGGGAAGGGGAAGGAGGGGAAGGGGAAGGAGGGGAAGGGGAAGGAGGGGAAGGGGAAGGAGGGGAAGGGGAAGGAGGGGAAGGGGAAGGAGGGGAAGGGGAAGGAGGGGAAGGGGAAGGAGGGGAAGGGGAAGGAGGGGAAGGGGAAGGAGGGGAAGGGGAAGGAGGGGAAGGGGAAGGAGGGGAAGGGGAAGGAGGGGAAGGGAAGGAGGGGAAGGGGAAGGAGGGGAAGGGGAAGGAGGGGAAGGGGAAGGAGGGGAAGGGGAAGGAGGGGAAGGGGAAGGAGGGAAGGGGAAGGAGGGGAAGGGGAAGGAGGGGAAGGGGAAGGAGGGGAAGGGGAAGGAGGGGAAGGGGAAGGAGGGGAAGGGGAAGGAGGGGAAGGGGAAGGAGGGGAAGGGGAAGGAGGGGAAGGGGAGGAGGGGAAGGGGAAGGAGGGGAAGGGGAAGGAGGGGAAGGGGAAGGAGGGGAAGGGGAGGAGGGGAAGGGGAAGGAGGGGAAGGGGAAGGAGGGAAGGGGGAAGGGAAGGGGGAAGGGGAAGGAGGGGAAGGGGAAGGAGGGGAAGGGGAAGGAGGGGAAGGGGAAGGAGGGGAAGGGGAAGGAGGGGAAGGGGAAGGAGGGGAAGGGGAAGGAGGGGAAGGGGAAGGAGGGGAAGGGGAAGGAGGGGAAGGGGAAGGAGGGGAAGGGGAAGGAGGGGAAGGGGAAGGAGGGGAAGGGGAAGGAGGGGAAGGGGAAGGAGGGGAAGGGGAAGGAGGGGAAGGGGAAGGAGGGGAAGGGGAAGGAGGGGAAGGGGAAGGAGGGGAAGGGGAAGGAGGGGAAGGGGAAGGAGGGGAAGGGGAAGGAGGGGAAGGGGAAGGAGGGGAAGGGGAAGGAGGGGAAGGGGAAGGAGGGGAAGGGGAAGGAGGGGAAGGGGAGGAGGGGAAGGGGAAGGAGGGAAGGGGAAGGAGGGGAAGGGGAAGGAGGGGAAGGGGAAGGAGGGGAAGGGGAAGGAGAGGAAGGGGAAGGAGGGGAAGGGGAAGGAGGGGAAGGGGAAGGAGGGGAAGGGGAAGGAGGGGAAGCGGAAGGAGGGGAAGGGGAAGGAGGGGAAGGGGAAGGAGGGGAAGGGGAAGGAGGGGAAGGGGAGGAAGGGGAAGGAGGGGGAAGGGGAAGGAGGGGAAGGGGAAGGAGGGGAAGGGGAAGGAGGGGAAGGGGAAGGAGGGGAAGGGGAAGGAGGGGAAGGGGAAGGAGGGGAAGGGGAAGGAGGGGAAGGGGAAGGAGGGGAAGGGGAAGGAGGGGAAGGGGAAGGAGGGGAAGGGGAAAGAGGGGAAGGGGAAGGAGGGGAAGGGGAAGGAGGGGAAGGGGAAGGAGGGGAAGGGGAAGGAGGGGAAGGGGAAGGAGGGGAAGGGGAAAGAGGGGAAGGGGAAGGAGGGGAAGGGGAAGGAGGGGAAGGGGAAGGAGGGGAAGCATGTGCGGAGGGGGAAGGGGAAGGAGGGGAAGCATGTGCGGAGGGAGCGTAAGAGAAAGTTTAAAAAGGCTCAATAAGAAACTCTGTCAACCCACCCATGTGCATGCATGCACATCTGCATACACACCCACGTGCATGCATAGTCACGTGCATGCAAACACACGTGCATGCAAACACACGTGCATGCATACTCACGTGCATGCATACCCACGTGCATGCATACTCACGTGCATGCATACTCACGTGCATGCATACTCACGTGCATGCATACTCACGTGCATGCATACTCACGTGCGCGTGGCACAGCCTCAGCACCCTCAATTAACCCCTCCTCGCCCGTCCCCTTGCCCTTGCCCCGCCCCACCACTCTCCACAGCACCGCACCCAGCAGCACCGCCACGAGAGCAGCACCCCCTGCTGCTATGACAGCCACAGCGGCCGGCGGAAGGGTGGGGCAGGCGGGGCAAGGGGAGCAGCGGCGGGCGGAGGAGGGGAGGCGGGGCAGATGGAGGTGTTGGGCGGGAGGGTGGAGGCAGTGGGAGTGGGGTTGGCAGCAGCAGCTGCTGTAGCAGCAGCAGCAGGTGGGATGCAGAGGTCAGCGTTTCCGGGAGAAAGCCTGCGAGGACACAAGCAAGACACATGGGTGTGTGGGCGGTGCGAGATGGACTTGAGAGGATACCCAAGGGAGTGTGAGGGTAATAGCAGAAAGATGTCAGCTCTACACGATTTATACATAGATTTCTGCATAGACTTTCTAGGAGGGGAGAAAACAAAAAGACAACAATGACGAAGAATATCTGTCTATTGAGGAAACAAAGAAGGCCTGAAGCAAAAAGGTTCACCTGAGAGAGAGGCCTGATCGAATGAGCTGAGAGGGGAGAGGACCTGAGAGGGCGTTGCCTGCAAGGTTGCTGCTCAGTGGGGCGAGAGAGGGGCAGCGATACGGGGGGAACGTGGATTCGGGAAGTGGATGGCCCAATAAGCGACGAGAATCAAAACACGAGTGGAGAGTGGGAAAATGTGTGATAGAGGGGAAGCAGGTGGGTGTGCAAGAGAGGAATGGGGAAGGAAGGTGTATGGAGGAGACATGGAACATGATGAGGGATTGCATTGCATAGAGGCGAGAAGAGTTTTAGAGTGGTGAGCACAACAGAGCAGTGAGAGGAATTACAGAGAGTGAAAGAAATTACAGAGTGGTGAGCGATGTCAAGGCAGAGAGAGAAGATGGCAGGGAGCCTGCAAGGCTATGTGCTCAGGTTCCTGCCAGCACAACGAGCGGGGTGCATGGGACAGGGAGCAGGGGGGGACTGGAAGAGACTGAAGAGGGCTGGCGGTGAAATAGAGAGATACCTGGCAACAAGCAGGAAACCCCAGCCACCAGGGGGACAGCCGAGCCAGCCAGGGGCAACGCACAGCCCAGCCAGGGGGCACACAGCAGCCAGCCAGCCAGCCAGCCAGCCAGCCAGCCAGCCAGCCAGCCAGCCAGCCAGCCAGCCAGCCAGCCAGCCAGCCAGCCAGCCAGCCAGCCAGCCAGCCAGCCAGCCAGCCAGCCAGCCAGCCAGCCAGCCAGCCAGCCAGCCAGCCAGCCAGCCAGCCAGCCAGCCAGCCAGCCAGCCAGCCAGCCAGCCAGCCAGCCAGCCAGCCAGCCAGCCAGCCAGCCAGCCAGCCAGCCAGCCAGCCAGCCAGCCAGCCAGCCAGCCAGCCAGCCAGCCAGCCAGCCAGCCAGCCAGCCAGCCAGCCAGCCAGCCAGCCAGCCAGCCAGCCAGCCAGCCAGCCAGCCAGCCAGCCAGCCAGCCAGCCAGCCAGCCAGCCAGCCAGCCAGCCAGCAGCCAGCCAGCCAGCCAGCCAGCCAGCCAGCCAGCCAGCCAGCCAGCCAGCCAGCCAGCCAGCCAGCCAGCCAGCCAGCCAGCCAGCCAGCCAGCCAGCCAGCCAGCCAGCCAGCCAGCCAGCCAGCCAGCCAGCCAGCCAGCCAGCCAGCCAGCCAGCCAGCCAGCCAGCCAGCCAGCCAGCCAGCCAGCCAGCCAGCCAGCCAGCCAGCCAGCCAGCCAGCCAGCCAGCCAGCCAGCCAGCCAGCCAGCCAGCCAGCCAGCCAGCCAGCCAGCCAGCCAGCCAGCCAGCCAGCCAGCCAGCCAGCCAGCCAGCCAGCAGCCAGCCAGCCAGCCAGCCAGCCAGCCAGCCAGCCAGCCAGCCAGCCAGCCAGCCAGCCAGCCAGCCAGCCAGCCAGCCAGCAGCCAGCCAGCCAGCCAGCCAGCCAGCCAGCCAGCCAGCCAGCCAGCCAGCCAGCCAGCCAGCCAGCCAGCCAGCCAGCCAGCCAGCCAGCCAGCCAGCCAGCCAGCCAGCCAGCCAGCCAGCCAGCCAGCCAGCCAGCCAGCCAGCCAGCCAGCCAGCCAGCCAGCCAGCCAGCCAGCCAGCCAGCCAGCCAGCAGCCAGCCAGCCAGCCAGCCAGCAGCCAGCCAGCCAGCCAGCCAGCCAGCCAGCCAGCCAGCCAGCCAGCCAGCCAGCCAGCCAGCCAGCCAGCCAGCCAGCCAGCCAGCCAGCCAGCCAGCCAGCCAGCCAGCCAGCCAGCCAGCCAGCCAGCCAGCCAGCCAGCCAGCCAGCCAGCCAGCCAGCCAGCCAGCCAGCCAGCCAGCCAGCCAGCCAGCCAGCCAGCCAGCCAGCCAGCCAGCCAGCCAGCCAGCCAGCCAGCCAGCCAGCCAGCCAGCCAGCAGCCAGCCAGCCAGCCAGCCAGCCAGCCAGCCAGCCAGCCAGCCAGCCAGCCAGCCAGCCAGCCAGCCAGCCAGCCAGCCAGCCAGCCAGCCAGCCAGCCAGCCAGCCAGCCAGCCAGCCAGCCAGCCAGCCAGCCAGCCAGCCAGCCAGCCAGCCAGCCAGCCAGCCAGCCAGCCAGCCAGCCAGCCAGCCAGCCAGCCAGCCAGCCAGCCAGCCAGCCAGCCAGCCAGCCAGCAGCCAGCCAGCCAGCCAGCCAGCCAGCCAGCCAGCCAGCCAGCCAGCCAGCCAGCCAGCCAGCCAGCCAGCCAGCCAGCCAGCCAGCCAGCCAGCCAGCCAGCCAGCCAGCCAGCCAGCCAGCCAGCCAGCCAGCCAGCCAGCCAGCCAGCCAGCCAGCCAGCCAGCCAGCCAGCCAGCCAGCCAGCCAGCCAGCCAGCCAGCCAGCCAGCCAGCCAGCCAGCCAGCCAGCCAGCCAGCCAGCCAGCCAGCCAGCCAGCCAGCCAGCCAGCCAGCCAGCCAGCCAGCCAGCCAGCCAGCCAGCCAGCCAGCCAGCCAGCCAGCCAGCCAGCCAGCCAGCCAGCCAGCCAGCCAGCCAGCCAGCCAGCCAGCCAGCCAGCCAGCCAGCCAGCCAGCCAGCCAGCCAGCCAGCCAGCCAGCCAGCCAGCCAGCCAGCCAGCCAGCCAGCCAGCCAGCCAGCCAGCCAGCCAGCCAGCCAGCCAGCCAGCCAGCCAGCCAGCAGCCAGCCAGCCAGCCAGCCAGCCAGCCAGCCAGCCAGCCAGCCAGCCAGCCAGCCAGCCAGCAGCCAGCCAGCCAGCCAGCCAGCCAGCCAGCCAGCCAGCCAGCCAGCCAGCCAGCCAGCCAGCCAGCCAGCCAGCCAGCCAGCCAGCCAGCCAGCCAGCCAGCCAGCCAGCCAGCCAGCCAGCCAGCCAGCCAGCCAGCCAGCCAGCCAGCCAGCCAGCCAGCCAGCCAGCCAGCCAGCCAGCCAGCCAGCCAGCCAGCCAGCCAGCCAGCCAGCCAGCCAGCCAGCCAGCCAGCCAGCCAGCCAGCCAGCCAGCCAGCCAGCCAGCCAGCCAGCCAGCCAGCCAGCCAGCCAGCCAGCCAGCCAGCCAGCCAGCCAGCCAGCAGCAGCCAGCCAGCCAGCCAGCCAGCCAGCCAGCAGCCAGCCAGCCAGCCAGCCAGCCAGCCAGCCAGCCAGCCAGCCAGCCAGCCAGCCAGCCAGCCAGCCAGCCAGCCAGCCAGCCAGCCAGCCAGCCAGCCAGCCAGCCAGCCAGCCAGCCAGCCAGCCAGCCAGCCAGCCAGCCAGCCAGCCAGCCAGCCAGCCAGCCAGCCAGCCAGCCAGCCAGCCAGCCAGCCAGCCAGCCAGCCAGCCAGCCAGCCAGCCAGCAGCCAGCCAGCCAGCCAGCCAGCCAGCCAGCCAGCCAGCCAGCCAGCCAGCCAGCCAGCCAGCCAGCCAGCCAGCCAGCCAGCCAGCCAGCCAGCCAGCCAGCCAGCCAGCCAGCCAGCCAGCCAGCCAGCCAGCCAGCCAGCCAGCCAGCCAGCCAGCCAGCCAGCCAGCCAGCCAGCCAGCCAGCCAGCCAGCCAGCCAGCCAGCCAGCCAGCCAGCCAGCCAGCCAGCCAGCCAGCCAGCCAGCCAGCCAGCCAGCCAGCCAGCCAGCCAGCCAGCCAGCCAGCCAGCCAGCCAGCCAGCCAGCCAGCCAGCCAGCCAGCCAGCCAGCCAGCCAGCCAGCCAGCCAGCCAGCCAGCCAGCCAGCAGCCAGCCAGCCAGCCAGCCAGCCAGCCAGCCAGCCAGCCAGCCAGCAGCCAGCCAGCCAGCCAGCCAGCCAGCCAGCCAGCCAGCCAGCCAGCCAGCCAGCCAGCCAGCCAGCCAGCCAGCCAGCCAGCCAGCCAGCCAGCCAGCCAGCCAGCCAGCCAGCCAGCCAGCCAGCCAGCCAGCCAGCCAGCCAGCCAGCCAGCCAGCCAGCCAGCCAGCCAGCCAGCCAGCCAGCCAGCCAGCCAGCCAGCCAGCCAGCCAGCCAGCCAGCCAGCCAGCCAGCCAGCCAGCCAGCCAGCCAGCCAGCCAGCCAGCCAGCCAGCCAGCCAGCCAGCCAGCCAGCCAGCCAGCCAGCCAGCCAGCCAGCCAGCCAGCCAGCCAGCCAGCCAGCCAGCCAGCCAGCCAGCCAGCCAGCCAGCCAGCCAGCCAGCCAGCCAGCCAGCCAGCCAGCCAGCCAGCCAGCCAGCCAGCCAGCCAGCCAGCCAGCCAGCCAGCCAGCCAGCCAGCCAGCCAGCCAGCCAGCCAGCCAGCCAGCCAGCCAGCCAGCCAGCCAGCCAGCCAGCCAGCCAGCCAGCCAGCCAGCCAGCCAGCCAGCCAGCCAGCCAGCCAGCCAGCCAGCCAGCCAGCCAGCCAGCCAGCCAGCCAGCCAGCCAGCCAGCCAGCCAGCCAGCCAGCCAGCCAGCCAGCCAGCCAGCCAGCCAGCCAGCCAGCCAGCCAGCCAGCCAGCCAGCCAGCCAGCCAGCCAGCCAGCAGCCAGCCAGCCAGCCAGCCAGCCAGCCAGCCAGCCAGCCAGCAGCCAGCCAGCCAGCCAGCCAGCCAGCCAGCCAGCCAGCCAGCCAGCCAGCCAGCCAGCCAGCCAGCCAGCCAGCCAGCCAGCCAGCCAGCCAGCCAGCCAGCCAGCCAGCCAGCCAGCCAGCCAGCCAGCCAGCCAGCCAGCCAGCCAGCCAGCCAGCCAGCCAGCCAGCCAGCCAGCCAGCCAGCCAGCCAGCCAGCCAGCCAGCCAGCCAGCCAGCCAGCCAGCCAGCCAGCCAGCCAGCCAGCCAGCCAGCCAGCCAGCCAGCCAGCCAGCCAGCCAGCCATCCAGCCATCCAGCCATCCAGCCATCCATCCAGCCATCCAGCCAGCCATCCATCCAGCCATCCAGCCAGCCAGCCAGCCATCCAGCCAGCCAGCCATCCAGCCATCCATCCATCCATCCATCCATCCATCCATCCATCCATCCATCCATCCAGCCATCCATCCATCCATCCATCCATCCATCCATCCATCCATCCATCCATCCATCCATCCATCCATCCATCCATCCATCCATCCATCCATCCATCCATCCAGCCATCCATCCATCCATCCATCCATCCATCCATCCATCATCCATCCATCCATCCATCATCCATCCATCCATCCATCCATCCATCCATCCATCCATCCATCCATCCATCCATCCATCCATCCATCCATCCATCCATCCATCCATCCATCCATCCATCCATCCATCCATCCATCCATCCATCCATCCATCCATCCATCCATCCATCCATCCATCCATCCATCCATCCATCCATCCATCCATCCATCCATCCATCCATCCATCCATCCATCCATCCATCCATCCATCCATCCATCCATCCATCCATCCATCCATCCATCCATCCATCCATCCATCCATCCATCCATCCATCCATCCATCCATCCATCCATCCATCCATCCATCCATCCATCCATCCATCCATCCATCCATCCATCCATCCATCCATCCATCCATCCATCCATCCATCCATCCATCCATCCATCCATCCATCCATCCATGGTGCAACGCACAGCCCATCCATCCATCCATCCATCCATCCATCCATCCATCCATCCATCCATCCATCCATCCATCCATCCATCCATCCATCCATCCATCCATCCATCCATCCATCCATCCATCCATCCATCCATCCATCCATCCATCCATCCATCCATCCATCCATGGTGCAACGCACAGCCCATCCATCCATCCATCCATCCATCCATCCATGGTGCAACGCACAGCCCATCCATCCATCCATCCATCCATCCATCCATCCATCCATCCATCCATCCATCCATCCATCCATCCATCCATCCATCCATCCATCCATCCATCCATCCATCCATCCATCCATCCATCCATCCATCCATCCATCCATCCATCCATCCATGGTGCAACGCACAGCCCATCCATCCATCCATCCATCCATCCATCCATCCATCCATCCATCCATCCATCCATCCATCCATCCATCCATCCATCCATCCATCCATCCATCCATCCATCCATCCATCCATGCATGCATGGTGCAACGCACAGTAATTGAAGCGTGGTGGTGCCGCTGACCAAGTCCTCTGGTATGCTGCCGTTGACTCGCGTGCCGGAGATGGCCCTAAAGCATGGCATGGGGCATGGCATGGGGCATGGCATGGGGCATGGCATGGGGCATGGCATGGAGTATGGCATGGGGCATGGCATGGCATGGCATGGGGCATGGCATGCGGCATGGCATGGGGCATCGCATGGGGCGTGGCATGGGGCATGGCATGCGGCATGGCATGGGGCATGGCATGGGGCATGGCATGGGGCATGGAATGCGGCATGGCATGGGGAATGGCATGGGACATGGCATGGCATGGCAATGGGGCATGGCATGGGGCAGGCAAACACACATGCACGCGCACACACAGACACGCACACAGGACATAAAAAATATGCATTGTAAGTCTTGCATTCTGTTAACCGAAATCAAATAGCCATGCAAAGATGCTGGAGAGGGACTAGAGAAAGGTGATGGGTTTATGGTGCGATGAGAGGGTTTACAGTGTGGCGAGAATCGGTGACGTGGCAAGGAGAGAGGGGATGGGGCCCTCAATAGGGCTGTTGAGAATAGAGCTGCATGGAAGCCACGGCAAGGCACAGAGTGAGTGTGGAGTAGGGAGGAGGCAAAAGGATATGATGAGGCAGGAGCGAGTGAGTGCATGGAGCGAGGTGCAATGGTGAGGTGAGGCAAGGAGGCGGAGTGGATAGTGAAGGGTGAGCACGGGAAGGTGGAGAGGGGTGGATGGAGGTGTCACGAGCACACATATAACGAGAGGTACGTTAACCCTTCTCCTCTCCCACGCACCCCGCTTCACTCCCACGCGCACCTCTCTATTCCCCTGCACCCAACTGCACTGCCAGATGCCGCACTTCACTCACCGACTGAAACCGCATCCAATTCAGTATCTATGGAAATCACAGGGCAACCCAGTCAACTCTCACACCACGACTCAGATTCATAGGCCAGCCACTCATGGTTCTTAATTTATGGTCAACTCACAATTCAACCAGTCAACTCACAAGTCAACCGGTCAACTCACAGGTCAACCAGTGAAGAGCTACGGAATTGAGGCAGGGTGCCGCCCACCCTTGTGTCTTTGAGCGTACTGCCAAAAGGAGAGGTTGGGAGGGGGAAGAGGGTTGGGAGAGTGGGGGCGGGTGGGGAAGGTGGAAAGAGCGGGAGGGGGATTCACAGGAAGGAGTTGTTGGGATGACACATAGACTACAAGTTTGATAACGCGCGATCAGGTGATGGTAGATGATGCCATGACACTCAAATGTCGCCCACAAGTCGTTAACATCGCTTATAGGTCGCCAGGGTCGCTCACAAGTCGCCAAGGTCGCTCACAAGTCGCCAAGGTCGCTTACAAGGCGCCAATGTCGCTCACAAGTCGCCAAGGTCGCTCACAAAGTCGCCAAGGTCGCTCACAAGTCGCCAGTGTCGCTCACAAGGCGCCAATGTCGCTCACAAGTCGTCAATGTCGCTCACAAGTCGCCAGTGTCGCTCACAAGTCGTCAATGTCGCTCACAAGTCGCCAGTGTCGCTCACAAGTCGCCAATGTCGCTCACAAGGCGCCAATGTCGCTCACAAGTCGTCAATGTCGCTCACAAGTCGCCAGTGTCGCTCACAAGTCGCCAGTGTCGCTCACGAGTCGCCAGTGTTCAATGAAGAAGAGGTGACGGCATGGAGGGCAAACCAAAACGCACAAGACGGAGAGAACACAACAGCATGGCCACGACTCAACACAACAGCATGGCCACGACTCAAGCCTCACAAGTCTGCCAGGTGATGAAGCGATAACAGAATGGTCAAGAGCCAGAAAGCAGGACTCACAAGTCCGCCAGGTCGGAGAGGTTTCCCACTGCTGCACTGAGTGCGCCTCGCAACGCCTGCCCGGAGATTGTTCTGTGATAGGGGCAGAGTTTGGGATGAGAGGAGGGGCGAAAGGATGATGGGAAAAACGGAGATGGGGGGGAGAAAGGGAGGAAGAGAAGAAAGAGATGATGAAGAGGAACAGTGCGACTCAAGAGCAAACAGCTCTCGCAGGGAGAAAGTGCGTTAGTTGCGCTGCTGGGAAACGGTCGGCATGCACGGCGGGAAGGGCGTGAGGGGCACACAGCGCTCTACTAGATTCGAGACTACAGGGGGAGCTCACAGCGAGACGATGCGCTGCTTAGCCTCGCGCGAGACGGTGGGCATGCACTGAAGACGGAAGGGCGCGAAGGGCTACAGTGCTCTAGTAGGCTTGAGGGTACAGAGCACACAGCACTCACAGCGAGACGATGCGCTGTTTAGCCTCGCGCGAGACGGTGGGCATGCACTGAAGAGAGAAGGGCGCGAGCTCGCTGCAGGGGTCCATGGAGGGGCGCCATGCGCGCACGCCCGCGCTGCCCCCGCTGCTGCTGTACACCCCCCGCCACACCTCCACCAGCGCTGCCACTGCGGTGGTGAGGGGCGGAGAGGGGTGGTGCGGGGTGGTGTCGGGTGGCGGGGAGTGGTGCGGGTCGTGTGGGTGAAAGGTGGTGTGAACGAGGTAGTGAGTCAGGGCGATGTGGTGGTGATGGTGGGAGAAGAGAGAGGGGTGATGGTGGGAGAAGAGAGAGAGATGGTGTTCGGAGACAAACCATGAAAGAGTGTATCTTAGTGGCGGAAGATACACTCACCCAAACCGCCGCTACTGCTACCGTTCTACCGAGAGGATAACCAGAGCGAACCAGAGAGAATCAGAGAGAACCAGAGAGAACCAGAGAGAACCAGAGAGAACCAGAGAGAACCAGAGCGAACCAGAGCGAACCAGAGCGAACCAGAGAGAACCAGAGAGAACCAGAGAGAATCAGAGAGAACCAGAGCGAACCAGAGCGAACCAGAGCGAACCAGAGCGAACCAGAGAGAACCAGAGCGAACCAGAGAGTACCAGATCGAAACAGAGAGAACTAGAACGAACCAGAGGGAACCAGAGAGAACAAGAAAGAGATACGTGGTGATACCATAGAGGTGGCAAACAGCTGGACGGGCGGCAGAGCTGGGCGGTGGGCTTGGCGGTGGGCGTTGGGTAGGAGGGGGGGCTCACGGTCTTGCGGCGCGGTGAGGCTGAGGGCGGTCGGCAGCACCGCGACCGTCGCGAGCAGCGCCACCCACCACCATGCCACCACGCCCGCTGCACTAACTTCCCTGTTATTGAATCTGCGTGCTGTTATCGGAGCCAGCAGTATCGGGGATAGGAGGTCCATGATCGCCAAGGAACAGGACAGCAGCCAGCCGTTTGAAAGCCCGCGAGAATCAGCCGCTTGACGAATTCGCGCCTACTAACGTCGAACTCTGCGGCGTGTTCCTAGTATGACTATAGTTTCGGACAGAAACTACGCCGGACTCTGAAAGAAACGGCGCTTCTTTCGACGCAATGCGATCTGAAATGCCGGTGCTGACTGTATCCCCGCGCCCAGGAGTGCGTGAGACGGGCGGCAATAAGGGCGTGGAGGGCCAACAGCGGCGGTACACGGATTGACATGTGATGACGTGATGAGAGATAAGTCGAGATCCAACGAGGGTCGTCCCGATTCCCGACCCTCGTTTCCCTTCGTCTCCTTCGCTCCCCGGGCCCCATCGCTTGCACAGCTCCTGCGCGGTACCAATGCGACGGCGGTTAGCGTGGGACGGGCGCGAGACGGTGTGGTGGTTAGGCGGGAGTGTCAAGGGCGCCAGACCAATGAGAGGACGGTTGCGCGCAACTGCTGCTGCTGCAGCGTAGGGGAGTCGAGCGACGATTCAACTGACCTAAGCCCCTTCTGCTTGGAACGGTTACCAGCCGCCGCGTTATTAAATGCATCAATTTACGGTACATCAGAAGTTGGTGCTTTGTGCTCCTCAAGCTTTTACCTCACCGAGTGCCCTTCATATCTTTCTAATAAAGCAATTTATTGCAAATCTCCATGGTGCATGTATATTATACACATGTGCAAATATTGCTGATGTACGGTGTTCTTGTCTTTTTTTCTTGTAAAACTGTGTAAGCTTGTTCTGTATAGTCGCTGGAAAGTTCTTCGTTATACCGTAACGCATGATCTGTGTCTCTCTATTATATACAGTATAGAATATTATTAGCGTTACATAAAAGTGAACTGGCTTTCATCGAAGCAGCACTCTCCTGGCATCTGCGCTCCACAACTCGCGGATATCGCCACTCCTGCATCAAATCGAAGCATTCCGTTCCGACCTAGTCGTCAGTTCGGCTCCTAGGTTCGTTAGTTGATTGTCCTTGTGTGCACCCGCGTTACTTCACCGTCGTTCTTAGATCAATCAGGCACAGTTGTGACGAGGCTAGATGGCGGGACAGCCGGAGCCGAAGCAGACGCCGGAGGACGTGAAGATGGACGTCTTCGAGGACGACGACGAATTCGAGGAGTTCGAAAATGAAGGTGCGTCTTTCGGGCGAACGAGTCTATAGATCACGTCTCGCGATTTGGTTCTGCCGTAAAGATTCTTCCACTTCAGATAGCCGTGGTCGCGTATGACTCTGATTGGCGTGAGTTAGGACCATTTTTTTCGGTAATCCCGTTTGACGTCACGATTTCACGCGAGAGTGTTTCAGTCAATCCTTGCCTGTAGATATGGTTTCCAGTTTTCTCTCCACAATCGGAAACTGTGCGTTCGTAGAATTATCTTGTTGCTCCCAGGACACCATAGTCCTGTTGCGGAAAACGTCTGTGTTCCGCGTGCCTCCGGACACCCTAATCGCTGCTGATTCCGGGTGTCCCGTGCGACCTCCCCGTATGCCCTTGTGATGCGTGCCGGTTGGGATCCGGTGCTTCCTCGCATGTTCTTCCTCGCGTGACATCCGTGTTGGGAAGGGTGAGGTGATCCCCGCCTGACCTTCTCGTGTGCGGAGTCTGCTCCCCGCATCCATGCTGCTCCCCACATCCATGCTGCTCCCCGCATCCATGCTGCTCCCCGCATCCATGCTGCGGATTGGGACGAGCGCACGCAGGTCGTGGGGTGTGGTGGTGCACCACACGCAGGTCGTGGGGTGTGGTGGTGCACCACCAGCATAAGGACGACCGGCATGACGTTGCGCTCTTCTCCCCCTCCCGTCCCACCACCCCCTTCCGCCTCCCCCACGCCTCTCCCCTGCCCTCTCTCGCCCCCCACTCCTCTATGTTTCAGATTAGACTCCTCTCTCTCTAGCCCACGGCGTGGAGTTGATGCACCAGTGGGAGGACGACTGGCATGACCTTGCACTCTTTCCTCCCTTCACTCCACCCCTCCCTTTCTCTTCCACCTGCCTGCGCTGCCCGCGCCTCTCTATCGCACGAGAATGGGACGAGAGCGCACGGCACGCGGAGGTTGTGCTCCTATGGCATGATTCTCAACTCTCCCCCGTCCCTCCCCATCTCCCCCCCCCCTCCCCCACCCCCCTCCCCCACCGTTTTGGTATGTTGCAGATTGGGAAGAGGGAGCGCAGGTCGTGCAGGTTGTGCGCCAGTGGGAGGACGAATGGGGATGACTCTGCATTCCTCCTCCCTTTCCCGCATCACCCTCACCTCTCGTTCTCCTCCTCATTTCCCCACCTCTACGTTCCAGACTGGGACGAGAGTGCGCAGGATGTGGAGGTGGTGCATCAGTGGGAGGACGATTGGGACGATGATGACGTCAACGATGACTTTTCCCAGCAGCTCCGAGCCGAGCTTGACAAGTCCACATAGCGTGAGGGTGACAGACGCACCTTTGAGTCGCACATGTGACAGGTCAACATCTGTGTTCACACTTGAGTGGCATATGACATGAGTCATGCGACTTCTTTCCAGCAGCTGAGGGGCGAGCCGAGCTTGAAGAGTCCAAAAGCCTGTACCCTGGCTGGATGGCATGGGCATACTCTCAACGTGACACGTGGCATGCGCATGCCTGATTTGGTAGCACCGCATTTCCTAGAAGGGTCGTGTATATTGTGTTTACTAATTTGGTAGTAGTATGTACTCACGACTTGAGATGAGCTGCTGTTCTACCGTAGCTGTTTGACAGCAAGGTGCAAGTCCCTGGACAATAATCAAATTTCAACTCAAGGTAACACATATTCTTGCAGACAAACATCCATGATTCCTTCCTGACAAGGTATGGTATGGTAGTTAGAAAGATACCTTACTTGCAACCACACATGCCATCACCATCGCATTCACCACAATCCATGCCAATGTGACCTACGGTAGTACAGTACTGAATGGCTTGTGTTTCTAACAGCCACGCTCTGCCACCTGTGCTCCAGCCAGCCAGAAAGTGGGAGTGATAACCGTGAAACTTCAGCAGCGGAAGAAGGGAGAAGCAGGGCTATCCAAGGCGCGCCTTGTAGAGCAGAATGTAGGCCATGTGCCAGTCGCCTGCACGCATGGGGGAGAGGCATGAGATGAAGAGTGCAGATGTGGATCAGGCTTGGGGAAAGGGAATCTGGTCACGTGCGTTTGATGCCACATGACAGAAACTAGCAGCTACTGAGCGTGATAAGAATGATAATTTGTGACTTCATACCTGATTTTGAGGCATGTGACTACAAGGCACGTGAGTATAGCAAGGCACATGACAACCCCACAGCTCACCTCCGCCCGCCAGGTTGACAATCTCCTCGTTGCGCATGATTGATTGTTACTATATCGTGTGTGACACAAAGGACACGTGGCAACAAGGCACCTGGCAGGCACGCAGCTCACCTCCGCCCGCCAGGTTGACGATCTCCTCCTCGTTGCGCATGATGGGCTGCTCGTCGTCAAACTCGATCCACTTGCCTGCAAAGGAAAGGGAAAGGAGAAAGCGGGGGGTTGGGGAAGGGATGATGGGTTGTTTGTCATCAAACTCTATCCACTTATCTGAAACGAAGCAATGGAAATGAGAGAGGGGAGAGGGTCGGAGAGACATGACGGCTAGGAGACAGAACTGCCTGCAATGCACACAGAGGAGGAAGGAGGTTGGGGTGGAGCGTGGTGAGGAATGAATGACATAGAAGATGGATTGCAAGAGCGAGTGCAAAGCATTTTTCAGAATTAAAAAAAAAAAAAGAACCCTGAGGGCATGAGTGAGTGCTTGGGGCTGAAATTTATCCACACACTGTGCAGCCAAGGGTAGGTGGCGAGGTGATGTGGGGTGGTGGGGCATAGACAGGACAGTGTAGGAAGTTCTTAGCATTCAACAAAAAAAGGGACAAGGCATGGACGGGACAGGGCAGGAAAGTCTTAACATTGAAACATGTCTCAATAAGACAATGCATGGATAGTGAAAATCATTGGAATATGATGAGGTGAGCCATGGAAGAATAAAACATGAGATGGGGTGGAATTGGATGTACCCTGTTCATACCACATACCGCTCCTCTTCGCCCATTCACACCACATACCACTCTCCTGCTTCACCCATTCATGCCACACACATACTGATCCGTACCGCACTGTAACGCACAGTACATGCCACATACCGCTCTCCTGCTTCACCCATGCCACATAATGCCCCGAGTCCGCACTCCTGCCCTTGTGGGTCAGCACAGCTGTCAGGTCAAACAGCCCCGTGGCTGCATTGGGAAAGGGCAAAGGAGGAAAGGCAAAGGTGGTGGATGGAAAAGGCAGGCGGAGGTGGTGGGGTGTGGGAGAGGAGTGAAAGGGAGGGAAATACGTGAAAGGGAGGATAAAAGTGTGTTCCCCCCCGGCCTGCACTCCTGCCCTTGTGCGTCAGCACAGCTGTCAGGTCAAACAGCCCCGTGGCTGCATTGGGGGATGGCAGGATGATTGGGAAGCAAGAGGGGAAGGGGAAGGAAGAGAGGGAGTGATAACTGGTGTTTAGAAAGCCACGTAATGCCCCCTCGGCCTGCAAACTCCTTCCCTTGTGCGTCAGTACTGCCGTGAGAAGTCAAACATTTCATGGCTGGATGGGTGGGGTAAGAGGTGGGGGTGGGAAGCAGGGAAAGGAAGGGAGAGCGATGGATGGGATTGGAAAAATCAGATACCAGACGGAGTTCAAAGCAAACAGACCAAGTATCCATGAGACCTAGCGTGTATTCCATGGGAGAAATTAGTTCTTAAGCTTTCTAAAAATCTGTCTTCATCATAGCATCTCCCGGGAGAAGTTGGTTCTAAGAAAGGATGCCAAGTTAATCATCATATGAAACCAAGTTTACGTCATACAGCATGCGATGGGATAATGGGAGAGGTTGGTTTGAGGATTCCAAACAAATGTGTTAGTCGTATGGCATGCGATGGGAAAAAGAAGCCCTCTCTCCCATGGCCGCACAGGAAACAGTGGGCTGTAGAATGAGAGACAAGGCTACCTGGCAGCTTATAACTACATGATCACGGCAGAAGTGTGTGATCATACTCATGATCATGCAGCTCATGATTACTTGATCATGACAGGTACACGTGAGCATGATTCCTACCTTCTCCGCCCTCCTTGCTGTCTGCGTCTGTGGAGGCAGAAGCATTAGAAGCCTGCATGGTCAGCAAGGTGGGGTCAGGAGAGAGAACGCAGTGCAGTGGGAGGGGAAATGATTGAGACGAGGAATGAACCTATGGTGGGATGAGTCACAAAGAAGTGAGGCAAGCTCCCTCTCACACAAACTGCTTTGCTTGTTCCAGCGGTTACCCCTTCCGTCTTTCTTAGCACCTCTGCTTGTCCCCTATCTCTTACCTTGCACCTCTTCTTGATAACCATCCCGTCCTTCCTATCCTGAAATCCCCTTTATTGCACTACCCCAATCTCACAAGCCACAATCCGTTTTCTTACCCTCACCTTTCCATACACAGCCTTCATCCATCCCTCCCTCCTCACGTGCCAGATGGAGACTTCATTCCTCCTCCCTCCTCACCTGTGCAGTCGCAGCTCCATCCACATCCATGGCTGCGCCTCCCTCTCCGCCCTCCTTCCCCCCACCCTCCGCCCCCGCCCCGCCCTTCGCCTCTGCTCCCTCTGCTGCCGCCCCGTCTGTCTTCCCCTCTGCACTCCCACTCCCCTCCGCTCCCCCTCCCAACCCCTTGGCCGCACTCCCCCCTTCCACCTCCATCTTCTCCCCCTCCTTCTCCCCCGACCCCTCCCCCGTCTCCCCTTTCTTCTCCCCCTTCCCCCCCGCGTCCGCCTCCCCCTCCTTGCCCTTCCCCCTGCCCTCCACCAGCCCCGCCTTGATGTCATCCGCCAGACGCAGGCGCTGGGGGGAGGGGGGAGGGGGGAAGCGGCGGAATGGTGAAAGAGAGGGGAAGCAAAAAATATCACGGAAGGAGATCATGGGGGGTGGATGGGGAAAGAGGGGAAAGAGTGGGGGGAAGATGCGGGGGAAGGGAAGCGGGGAACGAAAGTGGCGGCGGGAATTGAATGAACGATGCAGGTGATATACAATGGAGAGTGGACGGAAGACAACAATATTAAAAAGCTCCTATATAGGATGACCTGATCTAGGTTAAAAGAACACATTGTGAGAAAAAACTCCCCCCACGCAACAACATGACATCGGCAGCAACCCTAAAATCCGAGGCGCAGCACTTTTGGAATCCTAGAAGGATATCGGCGCGCCACATTGCACTCACTTTCCTGGGCCCGTCCAGCTTGGCTCTGAGCTCGGGCGTGCAGAAGTCATACACGTCCAACACGAGGGGGTATGTCACCCTCTGCAGCAAGCAAAGAGAGGAGGATGGGGGAGGGGGAGAGGAAGGGAAAAGAGAGGGAAAACACAGGGGCATAGAGGGGGGCCGTGTGAAGCTTGGCTCTGAGCTCAGGCGTGCAGAAGTCGTACACGTCCAACACGAGGGGGTATGTCACCCTCTGCAGCACGCAACGAAAGGAGGGCGACAGGGAAGAGGGGCACAGAGGGAGGAGGGGCAGAGGGGGAGGAGGGGGAGAGTGGGAGGAGGGGCAAGGAGGGGGGAAACAGGAATGGGGGCCCGTCCAGCTTGGTTCTGAGCTCTGGCGTGCAGAAGTCATATACGTCCAACACGAAGGGGTACGTCCAACACGAAGGGGTACGTCCAACACGAAGGGACCCCTTGGTGTTGGACGTACCCGTGCAGTATGGGGACGAGTCATGGGGGCACGGCAGCAGGGGAAGACGGGGGGCAGGGGGGGCAGAGTGCGGGGCAGGAGGGGGGCAGAGGGAGGGGCAGAGCGGGCAGAGGGGGCGTGTCCAGCTTGGGTGTGAGCTCGGGCGTGTAGCAGTTATAGACGCACATTACGATAGCGAAAAACCATCACTTGATCCCAGTTTATGCAAGCATACATGGAGAGGAATGCACGATGGGGGACAAGGCACATTGCACAGGGCAAGGCATTGTAAGGCAGGGCATGGCAGGGCAACGCAGAGCAAGGCAGAGCAAGGCGGGGCAAGGCAGGGCAAGGAATGGTGGTAAGGCAGGGTAGAGTGGTACTGTCTCGGAGGATTTTGGAACGGCAAGGCACGGTAAGGCAGGGTAAGGCACGGTAAGGCATGGTAAGGCATGGTAAGGCACGGTAAGGCATGGTAAGGCATGGTAAGGCACGGTAAGGCATGGTAAGGCATGGTAAGGCACGGTAAGGTACTGACTCGGAGAATCTTGGCCTTCTGCTGCGACTCGCGCTTCCAGAAGAACCGCACGAACTGCACCGTGAGGTAACTGTTGGGAGCAGTGCGATGAGGGAGGGAGGGGGAGAGGAAGATGCAGAGGGCCATTCGAGGGAAAGAAATGCTTGTTTGAATGCGTAGCATGCGCATACACCTGTGCTTCCAGAAGAAACGGACGAACTGCACTGTGAGGTAGCTGGTGGGCAGTGCTGTGGAGAGGGAGGGGGAAGGGGGTGGGAGAAGGGGAGGAGGACTCGTTTTAACGCGTGGCATGCGCGTCCACTTGCGCCTCCAGGAGAAACGGACGAACTGCACTGTGAGGTAGCTGGTGGGGGGAAGTGCAGAGGGGAGGGAGGGGGAGAGGGAGGGAGGGATGAGGAAGAGGGGAAGACGGATTTGTTTGAATGCGAGACATGCGCGTACACTTGCGCTTCCAGAATAGTGCAGGAAGAGAATTGGGCTAACGTGGGGGGCTGATGAAGCAACATTGGCACAGTGGAGCGGCTTCACCAAGATGAGGAGCTTCAAGCACACACAGCATAGAGAGCATGGAATGGCTGATGCTGAAACAGGAGGTAGGTGACTGATTTACCGCAGTGGGGGACGAAATGACGGAATTAGCATGGGGCCCCGAACACACCCGAGCAGCCATCATCTCGAGCAGACACCCACCAAGGGAGCCGGGCGATAAAATACTCTGATCTGATGCGCCAAAAAAATCACTCACTGGGGGAGGCGGGCGATGAGGGAATCTTTTGTGAAGACAGCCGAGCGGCCAAGTGATGCTGATACCTTCTCCAGCTCCGTCCTTAGGCCCTGGTGGGCCGTGAGTGCATGCAGGCGCGTGAGAAAGCATGAACTCAAGAGCTTAGCCAGCGTACTAAGCAGGGCAAAGCACGAGGCCTTCTCCAGGTGAATTATCAGACAGGCCCTTGAGGAGGTGGGGTGCATGGCAGCAGAGGAGGACGGAGGGAGGGTGTAATAGGAAGGAAAGAGGAAGGAAGGGAGAGAGGGAATGAGGTGTAGGTTAACGTCACTTTGCTGCTAATTAGGTGCAGGCAACGTGGGTCAAAAGGGAAATATTGTGTGAGAGCAGCTCTCACCCTCTAATGCCTTCATGCAGTATGATGACAAGGGGAAGGGCACTCACCCTCTTGATCCCTGCACTCACCCTCTTGATCTCTGCACTCACCCTCTTGATCCCTGCACTCACCCTCTTGATCCCTGCACTCACCCTCTTGATCCCTGCACTCACCCTCTTGATCCCTGCACTCACCCTCTTGATCCCTTCATGCAACAGGTTGACGTCGCTGCTGATGTGGCACTTGAGCATAAACGCTGTTTCCTTCTCCTCACTCTCCTCCCCGTTGCCCTCCGCGCCTTCCCCTCCCTCTGCACACCGAACCCTGTGTGATGCAGAGAGAGAGGTGAGCAGCGCACGTGGAGAAGGGGAGCATAGCATGAGTGAGAACATGTCAGGACTGTCACCAGCTGCAAAGGGGGCGGTCAGCACGTGGCAGCACACCAGCAGCTAGACAGTACACAGGTCAACCTCTCATGAGGTAAGGCAGGAGGCAAGGCAGGAGGTAAGGCAGGAGGTAGGGCAGGAGGTTAGACAGGAGGCAAGGCAGGAGGTAAGGCAGGAGGTAAGGCAAGAGGCAAGGCAGGAGGTAAGGCAGGAGGTAAGGCAGGAGTAAGACAGGAGGTAAGGCAGGAGGTAAGGCAGGAGGTAAGGCAGGAGGTAAGGCAGGAGGTAGGGCAGGAGGTAATAAAGAGGCATGAAAGGCTTACTTGCTGACTAGTTCAATCCCGAATATGTTGTCCACCTCAGCTTGAGAGCTGACGTGGCAGGGTAAGGGATAAGGCAGTTGCAGAAAATTACAGGAAGGGGAGGAGGAACGGAGAAAAATTGGCATGAGCAATAGTCAATCCATTAAGTCTGACCGTGCTCCTATGAGAACATATAGGTTGAAGGCAATAGCAGCAGCAGCAGCAGCAGCAGCAGCGGTAACAAACAAAGTGTAACCGATGCAATTATAAGGAGAGGTGGTGAAAGGAATCAGAACGTGGTATAACGGGCACGCACGGCTGCCTGATGCTGCGGAGGCGCTGGGAGAGAGAGTAGAGCAGCTGCGTCCAACACTCCTCCGCATCCTGCATGGGACGAATGAGGGGGGAGAGGGGTGTCGCGGAGTGATGGGGAGTGATGGGGAGTGATGGGGAGTGATGGGAAGTGATGGGGTGGGGGGTGATGGGGTTGATGGGGAGAGACAGGAGAAAGATGAAGGTGAAGGAAGCAAGCATGAGTGGAGCTACATGCGATGAGAGAGACATGCGATGGGGGCTACATGCGATGAGAGAGACATGCGATGGGGGGCTACATGCGATGAGAGAGACATGCGATGGGGGCTACATGCGATGAGAGAGACATGCGCTGGGGGCTACATGCAATGAGAGAGACATGCGATGGGGGCTACATGCGATGAGAGAGACATGCGATGGGGGGCTACATGCGATGAGAGAGACATGCGATGGGGGCTACATGCGATGAGAGAGACATGCGATGGGGGCTACATGCGATGAGAGAGACATGCGATGGGGGCTACATGCGATGAGAGAGACATGCGATGGGGGCTACATGCGATGAGAATTCATTCAAGAGCCGGAAGTGACTTTGGGTCGACTGACAAGTGACTTCGAGGTTACATGACATGACAAGTGAGTAGGAGAACGAAGGATCACAAGGAGCAGAGGTAACAGAAAGACCAACAACAACCTGACAGACTTGCTAAGCTGTTTAATGAGTCACCTCAACAAGCATGTTGCTAAGCTGTTTATTCTCTCGTTGTGCATGTCATGATGTGTGGTACATGCACGTACCCAATCCCCCCACACCTCACCTGCTGCATGTACGCGCCATGCTCCCATGTCACCTCACCTGCTGCATGTACGCGCCATGCTCCCATGTCACCTCACCTGCTGCATGTACGCGCCATGCTCCCATGTCACCTCACCTGCTGCATGTACGCGCCATGCTCCCATGTCACCTCACCTGCTGCATGTACGCGCCATGCTCCCATGTCACCTCACCTGCTGCATGTACGCGCCATGCTCCCATGTCACCTCACCTGCTGCATGTACGCGCCATGCTCCCATGTCACCTCACCTGCTGCATGTACGCGCCATGCTCCCATGTCACCTCACCTGCTGCATGTACGCGCCATGCTCCCATGTCACCTCACCTGCTGCATGTACGCGCCATGCTCCCATGTCACCTCACCTGCTGCATGTACGCGCCATGCTCCCCCTGCTGCGCAAACTGCGGGAATCTCTGGCGAAGCAGCTGCAGCCCACAGGGCGGCGAGCAGAGGGAGGCAGCGAGCCAGAACGAGGGAAGCACATGTGAATGAGCATTGGCGGAACATATATGAGAGGAGAAGCGAAACGGTGGAGTCAAATGGCATGGGAGGAGGAAGGGGACGGAGAGGATGGGCAAGTGCCCAGCTTAGAAGGGTGGGCAGCATAGGAGGGCACGGGGAAGAAGTGCAGAGATATGGCGAATAGGGGCGTTGGAGAGTGTGCGGGAGCAAGGGAGCAAGCAAGGGGGGAGGGGTATAAAGTGCGGGCAAGGGAGGGGAGCGGAGTGAGAGGGGGAGTGGGGGGAAAAAGGGGATGGATGGAAGAGAGAGAAGCAATGACCATGAGGAAGCGCAGGGGAATGAGAAAGGGTTGAGGGGGTGGGGGGATGGTGGGTTGCGTGGCGGAGAAGCAAATGACCATGAGGAAGCGAAGTGGAGTGACGGGGCGGCGAGATTTCTCCAGCTCCCCAAAGAGGTCTCGAGCTGCCAGCGCCAGGCGGTGCGAGCTGTCCGCCTCTATGCCACTCGATGGGGCGTACCTGCGGTGCAGTGCGGTGGGGTGGGGTGGGGTGGGATGCATGGGCCACATGAGGTGAGGGCCAATCAGTTGAGAGAAAATGGAGGTGACTCTGAGGGCATGAGGAGCACTGGATGGTAGGTGGAGGAAAAGAGAGGAGGAGGAGGTCAACGAGGGAACGATGCAGAGCGGCAGTCAAGTGCGGTTCCAAGGGCCATGGGACCGAGGGGAGGCGCCGGCAACGATTGTTGGGCAAGATTTGTGATGCGAGCGCTCATTGAACGTGTGAGAATTCTCACGGACTTGTGCGCACACAAGCGACAAGCACAGAGCACACTGGGACAGCACGTGGGGTTGATATGCCGGGGCCATAGCGATGTGGGCATGTGGGCATAAAGATATCAAATGGAGGCGAGGGGTAAGGGCACCACTGGGCGAGTGCGGAGTGCAGGGGCAGCACGGAGTGGTGGGAGGGAAGGTACAAGGTGGGGATGGATGGGATGCGGATTGGAGAGGAGAGGGCGGGTGGGGCACTGACTGCGCGAGGGCGGAGCGCAGCGGCGGCACGGAGTGGAGGCACTGCAGGGTGGCGTTCATGTAGCACGTGTTGCCCAGATTCTCCAACCCCGCTGACCACTCCTTCTGATGCACGCACGCACGCAGAGAGGGAGGGAGGGAGGGAAAGAGAGAGGGAGTGCACATGCGCAAAGCAGGGGAACTGTTCAGAGCCAGAGCATTCGGACCACTACTTGCTGCCGTGTAGCAGCACAACTTCACGCCATTATCCCCACATATTCAACCCCACTTGTGCTCACCTGCAAGTCGCCCCTCTTACCAGTCACATCCCTCACCTCACCTGCGCGGTTGCCTCCTGCGCCTCTTGAGGCAGGTCTGCAACCAACACCGCTGCCAGTGCGGGCACTGCCCATCCCTGCTACAGCCCCCACACTACCTCCCACCTGCTTAGCATTCTCCCATGCTCACCTGCGTGCTCCCCTCTACGCTCACCTGTGAAGCGGCCTCCTGCTCTTCCTTCCGCAGGACATCCACAATCACCACCGCCTGGGCGGGCGTTTGAAAGCCCAAGCATTGCCAAGCCCATACGCGCAAACCTGCGCCCCTCCGCCCAATCCCGCCTCTACCTCACCTGAGCAGCGGCCTCCTGCTCCTCCTCGGGCAGGTCTTCAACGAACACCACCGCCTGGGCGGGCGCCACTGGAGCAGCGTCTGCCGTGCCCATCATCATCAGCCGCTGGCCCTGCATGGTGATATGTGTGTGGGTGGTAGGTAGCGTGTGGGGGTGAACAATCCAACACTTAGAGGTGAAAACTGGGACGTACATGTGACGTGTAAAGCAAACCGCGAACACCAAAACGAGCTGCAAACCCCTGACAGCCTCACCCACTATGCGCAACTGACCCACTATGCGCCCCTGACCCCGTTTCCCAACCTCTCCCAATAGAATCACATCTTACACCCTCTCAACTCAATAGGCTCATATCCTAAACCGTCCCTCTCGATAAAATCACATCTCAGACCTCGCAGTCCCAAGAGCACGACGGGGACACTCACATCCTTGATGCCCAGCTTCGACCAATCAGCATCGTCCTGCACCCACACGCAGCAGCCGACACAGAGCCAGCACAGCACAGCACAGTCCAGAGAGCCGAAGCAGGGGGGAAACACAGGGCCAGTCACATATGAGGATTCTCAAAGGTAGCAAAGAATGGGAAGACGACGCAACAGTTGAAGGGATTTTCCAGGTCTCAGATGCTAACACCCGCCCATCCCTAGAAAGCACCTGCAGCTGCCCGGACTTAAGCCACTAACTGCTGCTTGTCAGGAGGCACCCCTGAGAGCGCGCACGGATGCCCTTTGCACACCAGCATGAATTACTTTCACCAGATAGTACCTGCACCAGAGCGTACCTGCAGCAGGCCGCCCTTGACCATGATCTTCTGCCTGTCGGGCGGCACGCCCGTGAGCGCGTAGAGCTGCCCCTTGAAGACTAGGGGTGGCTGCTGTGTGTCGATCTCCACCCCGCTGAACACCTCCTTCTGCCACTTCACGCTCACTGGGTGGGGTGGAGAGGGGGGGGTTGGAGGGGTTAGAGGGGAATTAACTCAGAAGTCACCGCGGGGTAACACCTCCTTCTGCCACTTCACAAGCACTGTGGAGAGGGGAGGGGGAGGGCTAAGAGGAGAGGGGTTTGAGGAGGGAATGGGAGCAGAGGCTTTGGAGAGGTTCAAACGGGCACCAGTCAAGAAGGGCGGCCCGAGGCTTTTGAGAGGTCGCAAACAGGGAGCGGGGGTGAAAAAGGGACGGGTTGAGCGCTGAAAAGGCGCGTGGGAGTCTAGAAGAGGAATAAACGAGCGAAGGGCACGAATCCATGACTTCACTGGAGGCGCTTCTTCCAATCGACTGCAAAAAAAGAGCGTGGGGAGTCAGGATGGGGATGGAATGAGCAAGGGACAGGGCAGAGGGCCATGCCAATCGCTAAATATCTCCCCGCACGCGGACGCAGGGCGGAGAGGGGGGGTGGGTGTAGCCGCGAAAGAGAATGGGCAGGGAAGTAAGAGAAGGGAAATTGAAGGTACGCAAGGGAGGGGGGATGGCCAGAGGAACTCGCTGACGTCAATCCTCGAAGGCGGGACGCCCCTTGCGCTTCCGCTAGAGCCTCCAGGAGGTGTCCGCGCGCGGGGAGACGGGGAAGGAAGCAGAGGAAGGGGGAGAGGGGGAGGTGGGGATGAGTGGCGGGAGGGGAGGGGGAGGAAGGGGAGTGGTTACAGGGAAAAATAGAAAGGATCGGCAATCGATTGGCCGAGTACCTTCGGCGAGCTTTCACGAAGGCCACCCAGCGGCTCCGGTAACATCCGTTTCGCGAAGTGGTTCCTGTGGTTTGGGAGCCTTTGCGCGACGCGGAGAAGGGGGCGAGGGAAACGGGGCCGCGGGAAGCATCTTAATATGTTGATCTGCCTCGTTGTGCCACGTGGCGCTTGTTGGGACGCGTCTACTAGGAGAGGAAAGACGTGGAGAGTAAGCAGAGTGAAAATGCTCTGAGAGCTGGAGCTCCTCTATCCTGGAAAGAGGGGGGTCTAGAAGAAGACGGGATGACGAAAAAGCGGCGGATCCGCGAGTTTGTGTGCAGAGGAGACTTTTGAGAAATCTCAAAAGTCGCTCACGATGAGACTTGGCCAGCATGGCTGACGACGCGGCTCCACCCACCCTTGAGAGTCATGCCTGCTCCCTTCCGTTCGGAACGCCGCAGCGGCACGCAGCAGCACTTGCTCACGCGAGGCCCGGTCGAAACCGTCAATTGCAAAAGGCGATTAGAAGCGGAGTGGCGCGAACGGCGGCGACGCGGTGGCGGAATGGCAACGAATGTGGTGCTTTTGTGACGGGGATCTGTTTCGGTGGATCTGTTCGTCTGAGGAATTCGGAACAGCTGATCTCGATTTTCGGGAACGCACAAATGCAGCTCCTAAAGAGCGTTTCGCTTCAGACTCGGAAACATTGTCTGAGGAGAATCCATGTTATGATGGTATCCATTCTCAAATAATTCTATTTTCACATCATACACCTCGTTCCCTCCAACCTCATCTTTACGTGGCTTTATAAGGTCCGAGTGCACTATTCCACAGATCTCTCATGCTTTTCAAGGCTTTTCATGAACAGAAGTCAAAATTTATGCATAAATATGTTACCACCATGATGCAATTTTATGCATAGTTTATTACCACACCATTGACAAGGTCTAAATGACAGTAGCGTCTTGCACTCGGTGTTGTTGGTCATGGAGTAGCTGTTGCCGTTGCCGAAGCGCAGCTCCTGCACGCAGGGGCGGAAGTCACTGGTCCACGCATACAAAATGTTGACCGTCTCCCCGGGGAGCATCTGCAGCGTGCCGGTAGCACCGCGGTTCAAGCGCATCTCACAGTACCCCGGCGAGGTCTGCACAAAGATGTCGCCTGTCTGGTACTGCGTGGGGTTGGGCGTGGGGTTGTCGAGGATGCCCTCCCAGATGTTGTTGAAGTTGAAGCACGCATACACGCGCAGCGGGCTGGTGACGTTGTAGGCGCAGCCGTTGTAGAAGGTCATGTTGTAGATGTTGTTGTGCAGGTCGTACGGCCCCAGGTACTGCGACCGGATCGTCACCGTCGTGCGCCCGCACGCTGCAGGCCAGGGAGAGGGTAAGCGGGGGGAAGAGCAGGAAGAAAGAGAAAATGCATTAAGGATTTTGACCATTACAGTCTGTGCACCTGCATGCTGGACCAAAAGACAGAGGGACTAGAGATAGTGAGGTGGGATCGGGGACGGGAGGAACTCAATAATCCTAGGGATATGAGAACTGTGACATCATGCACCTACATGCTGAAGGAGCATAGGAAGGTGAGGGGGATGCAGAGAGAGGGGGCAGGAGGGAGAAGGGGAGGGGTGGGGGGGAGGGAGTGTGGAGGGTGGAAGGGATTGGAGGAGGGAAGGAGGGGAATAAGTGCCAAGGGGATCGGGGAAACGAGTGGCAAGCATAGAAGGGGAGAAGGGAGCAGCAGCGCGTACTGGTGGCGAGGGTCTGGCGGCGGGGGATGTGGTCGAGGTAGCCGGGCAGAGGGGCGTCGTGAGCGAAGGTCTCAGCCGCCAGAATGCGCCTCCCCCCCCCCTGGCACCAGCGCCCTCGCTGCCTTCATCGCGTCCCGACCTGCACTCACCGCCGCCGCCAGCAGCCCCACCGCCAGCGCCGCCAGCAGCAGCACGCGCGCAGCCGTCGCCATGAGGAGAGGCTCGAAGGTGAGAGGGAAGAAGCACGAGGGGCTTGACAAGGGGGTTGGTAGAGGGAGCACTGGGTGAGCTGATGCCTCCATAGCGACCCATCATGGCCGCTTTATAGGCGGGAGTATACCGTGAGATGCGGTGGTGCTAAGGGCGGGTTCCTCTCCTCAGGCATGGAGCAGGAATCCGCATTGCTGGTGGCGGTGCTAGTGCTGCTGAGTAGCCACCGTTGCTGCGGCGATGGAGGAGACGAGCAGTCAGGACGACGCGACAACTGTCACTGTCGATTGCCATGCTTCCTATGATGCATCGCGTCCTCTCACATCGCCACGGCCTGCCTGCTTCTTCTCTTTACGCACCCGCTTGAGATTCCGCCGCTCGGGATGTCCGCTTCGGACAGCCGCTGCTGCGCATCGCGCGCTGCCGTGAGACACGGAGAGGGACATGACAACAGCCGACAGCGAGAGCGGCGGCTTCTGGGAGATCTTCGAGGGCTCGGATGTCATCGAGGGACAGGCAACACATGGGCGCCAAGCCGCTCTGCGAGTCGCTCCAACGGTTACGCCGCGAGCCTAAGATTTCGCCGAGAAGTTTGCGGTCATCCCGGGGATGATGAGAGATCACTCGCGACTCGATCCGAGTCGCAACAGCCAAGGCCTCTGACAGCGACGCGCCGAAGTCCGCGGCAGCGAAATTGTTCTGAATGGATCGAGAGACAGTTTAGAAAAATAACTGCAAGTGAATTTCCTGATCAGAATCATCCACTGCCCCATTTCGTCGAATCTCCTTCGACACTCCAACCCCTCCCTGGTGGACCTACAAGAGGGACAGTTAACCGGCTGGCCGCGAGGCTAACGACATGCAGCACCCGCATCGCGAGCGGCATGAACGGTTGCCCTAGTGGTTAACGATTCCCCAGTAGTTCTGGCGGTTATGTTTCTGTCTGGTCGTGGTCGTGAGTGCGTCGCTATGTTGCTTGACGGTTCTACAGCCTAATAGCTACAGCCCAAGCGGTCTAGGGAACACCTCAAGCCTCTCAAGCTCCTAGGCTCGGGCAAAGCGGTTATTGCTGCATCAGTTTGCATGCACGAATTTCGCAGCGAAGACAATTCGGGAACTTATCGCCAGCGAAAGCCAACTTCGAAACGCTGCTGACTGGGAAATCCTGTAACCTGACTAACTCTGCAAAACTGCTTGTTCCGCCATGATACTCAATACTCGTTATAGTAGTATGATTGAACCCTTACTATTTTCATGAAAGAATTGTGGCGCTATTAGTAGTATTTTTTATATTCACAGTGGGCCGCACTTGATGACAAGTCTGAAATCTAAATAATTCTGTACATCTATTCCGCTCTCTTCAGCTAGGGTACCAATCGAGTTGCCAAATGGTAGAGTCCAAACTAGAGTTCATCAGACAGGGAGTTAAACATGCTTCCTGCTCCCCTTGCTCTGCCTCCCAGCTTGCCACAATTTGCTGCTTGTCGAACCTCAGGGCTTGACAGAATTCTCTGTTCGTCAAATCTCCCTGCTTACCCCTCTCCTTGATAAGTCTCACTTCTTGCCGAACCTCACTCCGTATGAAGCCTCACTTCTTGCCGAACCTCACTCCATATGAAGCCTCACTTCTTGCCGAACCGCGTGAATTTACAATTGGGCGCCCCAATGTGGCTCGACTCATAATCCCCCACCTCCCCATCCAAAAACCCCTTCCCAACCTCCTCATCTGTCATCACGGGAAGCCCCGTCTTCCTCGCTCTCTCCACCACCTCTGCCACCCGCGCCGCCCGCTCTGGCGCCTGCTGGTACGTCTGGCCCACCACCCCGTGCATGCCTGGACTCGCCTCCACTAGTAGAAACTCCACGCTGAAATGCGCCTGTGAGTCGGTTGGGGTTTGTAGCATCGGGTGTGCCACGCGTGCGCGTATGATCATCCGTGCCACGTCAGCAACCGCCAGCTCATACCGCTCCACAGCAAATTGCCCAAACTTCTCCACCTCCTCCAACCGCAGAGTAAACCCACTGCACCCATCCCTCTCCCCACTGCCGCCGCAGCTGCCAATCCCTCTCCCATCCTCCACCCGCCCCCCCACCTCAGCCATCCACCCACTGCTACTGCTCACCCCCGCACTATACCCACTGCCATTCGTCGCCAGCACACTCCCTCCCGCTCCCTCCACCACCTCCCCCATCTCAAACGGCACGGGCAGCTGCTTGTTGTTATACGCCACGCGCAGCAGAAACGGCTCAGCCGTGCCGTTCGCAGCGGCGTCGCTGCCTTTCTTGCTGCCCTTGCTGGCAGCAGGCGGGGCGGACTGGCGGCGCTTGGGGTGCATCTTGCCACTGCGCGCCACGAGGTGCAGGCGGTGCATGGTGGGGCGGCGGGGGTCCTTGGGATTGGGCACGGCCCACATTATGCCCAGCTCCCTGTGGGTGCGCGTGCACACAGGAACAGGAAAAAAGGGGGGGGAGGGGGGGGAAGGGGGGGGGTTGCGGGCGACGAGGAAAAGGGAAAGGGGAGTGGGGAAAGAAAAAGATATGATGATTTGCCTCTAGAAAAGGGGGGCGAGGGCGGGGCGGACAGCTGGCGCTTGGGGTGCAGCCTCCCCCTGCGTGCCACAACGTGCAGGCGGTGCCGTGTGGGTGGGGCGATGGGGGCGCTTTGGGGTTGGGCACAGCCCACAGCACGCCCAGCTGCCAGAGAGGTAACTCACGCACAGAGAGGGGACTGGGAAGGGGAATGGGAGATTTACCTCATAAGGTGGCAATCGAGGAGGCGTCATGCGGGGACACCTGACAGGGCAGCGGATACCTCTGCAATCTCAGGTGGATTTCACTGGTACCCACGCCCGAATCAGCTGGCCATTTCCACCCCTTGCTCATCCCGCATTCCCAACCCCATCTTCCCGCACTCCCATTCACCTCATGTATCCCACCCAGCAACCCTCCAACCCTACACCAGCACCTCTAACCCTTGCCCTCCATTGGCCCGCGTCCAGACCATCCCCTCTCCACCGCGCTCACCACCACTCTCCACCACGCTCCAACCCCTTTCCACCTGATCCACTTCTGCCCATGCGGTATGCCCACGCCACCATCCTCCCCCAGCCCATTTTGGGGCACCTAAACACCAAACCCCTCTGCACCCCTCTCCACACTTCTCCACCCACGCAACCGCACCTCTCTCTCGCCCTACCCACGTTCTGCTCATGCCCATGCCACCATACGGCACCAACCCAATTTCAGACCCCTCTCCAAACCTTTTCACCCCTCTCCAGCGCATTTGAAGGGGCGTCAACAACACACCACTCTCCACCCCTCTCCATCGCATTTTTCCCACTCACTTGAATTACATTCGGCTCATGCCAATGCCGCCATCCTACTCCAGCACATTACACCCCTCTCCACCACATCCCTCCCACTCACTTGATCCACGTGCGGCTCATGCCCATGCCGCCGTCCGCCCCCAGCCCAGCGAGGGGCGGGCGCATGGCCTGGTAGCCGCGCAGGCGCGCGTTCACGTGCGCCCATGCACCCACCCTTGCACTCAGTCGAATGGGGCCTCAATGGTACACCTTTGTCCACCCCTCTCCACCCCGAATCGGCCTTACTTGATCCACGTGCGGCTCATGCCCATGCCACCATCTGGCCCCAGCCCAGCGAGGGGCGGGCGCATGGCCTGGTAGCCGCGCAGGCGTGCGTTCACGTGCAGGCGGGCAGCAGACAGCACGCAGAAGGACTTGTCCCGCCACCCGGAAAAGGAGAAGCGCGTCCCGCACGCGCCCGTGAACACGTGGTTACCACCCGCCAGTGTTATGGGCTGGCGCGGCGGGCTGGGGGAAAATGGAGGTGGCGGGGAAGGTGGAGAGGAATGGTGGGGACAAGGTGGGGGGAAAGTGGGGAATCTGGTGGAAAAAGGAGGTAAAGGTTTGTGGGGTGAGGAATAGAGTTGTTACCACCAGCGAGTGTTACGCTGGGGGTGGGGGCTGTAGGGGGTGGGAAAAGGGGGGAAAGGGGGGGTAGGGAAGGTGAGGAAAAAGGTGAGGGGAAGGTGAGGGAAAAGGGGGTTGTGTGTTAAGGTATGGGTGGTTACCACCGCCAAGTGTTACGAACTGGTTGGGTGCGCTGGGATGAGGGGGAGGAAGGGGGAAAGGTGGAGGGGGGAGGTGGAAAAAAGGGAGAAGAAAGAAGCAAGAAAGAGATCTATGGTGTGGTGAATAGAAAGTGGTTACCTCACAGTTGAACGTTACAAGGTGGCGGAGCAGGCTGGGGGCAGGGGGAAAGTGGGTGTGGGTTGGGTTTGAGCAGCAACCCCCAAGGAACAGAATCAAACGGTCCCCCTTCCATGCCCTTCGCCCCCCACACCCTGCTCCTCCCTCCCCCCGTCTCTTCATCTCCCCTCCACCCCACACATCCCTTTCCCTCTCCCCCCTTACCTTTCCACTCCCTATTCACTGCAATAATCGTTCCCCAAATCATTTTCCTTCTCATCACCTTCTTCCAAACTGCGCCATCCCCTCTCCCCCTCCTCCCCAATCTCCCCTTCCCCCACCTCCCGTCTCCTCCCAACCCCTTTCTCCCGTCTCTCACCTCCCCATCTCCCCTGCCTATGCCAACCTCTTTCCCCCACCATTGCACCGGCACTTTCCCCACTGCATGCGCACCTGTCGCTCGTTGCGTCGGCGACGGCTTGAGCGTGAGACGTCGTAAGAAGCGCGACGGCGGCGACCAGGAGGAATGGCGACATCGGCGAGCGACATGATGCGACGCCTTTCATTTGATAAAAGAAAACGTGCGGCGCGTGGGTAAACTTGGAGGAGAGAGACCGCGCCGCGCGCGACAATGGCGTGAGTGTCAGTTAATGAGTGGCATAAATGAAGATCCTAAGCGTCGGCTGCCTGTCAACTTCTAAGTGTCACACAGGGGACTAGCGCGTATCACGCAAGGTGGATCAGAATCTGGAGTCAGTCAGCTACTTGTCGAATAGCGTCAGTTTGCGGCGACATATCGCGGCATCCTAGAGCGTCGGCTCGGCTGCCCGTCGGCTGGTGAATGCCACATGCGCGTGTCACGCAAGCTGGAGTTCTGGAATTTCGCAATGATGCGCCACAGCATGAATAGTGGCGTGCAACAGCAGACAACAACCCTCACAACGACGCATAGCGTGTGACGAAAAGTGAATCCGCGCGAAATCGCGCAACCAGTTTCGAATTTGACGGGAATCTTCGTTCCATTCCAGGATTCACGAGGCGAAATCTGTTTTCGCAGAAAGCAAAAATGTGCGACAGCGTGGCAACTGCAACCCTGCCAACCACTGGGTAGTGGCTGTAACCTGGTGTCTTTCCACAAACTCAACGACCTGTTATACACCAAGAGGGCAAACCCTGGATGGCACTGTACAACCTTCCATATGAAGCCATTCAATTACTGAAACAAGCCATGTTGTGAAAAACTGCTACCCTGGAAAGAAGGGAAAAAAAATATCCTAAAAACATTTTCTGTGTTCTGGTTTCATACTCATGCACTCGAGTTGACATTGGTCCCGTCAAGAAGGAAGCGCATGACAGCATCGTTGAAGGGCTTTGGCCGATGGATGTTGAGTGCGTGCGATGCTCCCTCCAGCACCTCCAATGATGCCATGGGGCCAAAATGGCTGCAGAGGAGCAGCAGGGGAGAGAGGGGGGGGGGAAGGAAGGGGACAGGATGGGAGAAGCACCACATGAGCATGTGGCACCTCACAAGCATGTCGTCTTATTAGCATCGCATCACATGTGCATGGCACAACCCGCGCATCCTTACACCCCTCAATCCCCCACCTGTGCACACTTACGCCCTCAGCCCCCTCAACTCGCTCACTCATAAACCCCCTCATGCTCCACCTGTGCATGCGGTGAGCCACAGAGAGAGGGAAGATGGAATCTTGGCTGCCCCACACCAGAAGAGTCTCCTGCAGGTATGCCGTGGCAAGGCATGGTGTGGGGTGGGGAGTGGTACAGAGAGAGGCAGTGGAATCGAGGGGTGAGGCAGTGGAATCGAGGGGTGAGGCAGTGGAATCGAGGGGTGAGGCAGTGGAATCGAGGGGTGAGGCAGAGGAATGGAGGCAAAGAGAGGTGCGGGATGGGAAGAAGCCATGAAGTCACGAGTGCAGCCCAGAGCTGCATAATGCCACGTCGCACTCGCTGCTTCCATATCATCTGCAACCGGTATTGTGTTGCACACACCAGTTCAAAACAAGCGACGCTAAGCACACGTATTACTAATTGCACCCAAGAACCTCCCTCTTCCAAAAGTAAACCGAATATTCCCAATGAAGCTACGATCATCTTTTCAGGCAAAACCTTGTCATGCACTCAATACCCCTGGTACACTGAGGGACCATCCGCACCCACCATTTGAGGCACAGGAATGTCATGGGGGTTGAGAGCCTGCAGTGGAGGTGCGGCACTCTCCCTCTTCCCATCCACGCCCGCTGCACTCGGCCCCGTTCCGTCCACACGCGTTCCACTGGGTCCCGTTTCATTGAGTCCCGTTTCATTGGGTCCCGCTTCATTGAGTCCCGATTGGGAGAGGTATTTGAGCACCTCGTCCAGCATGCTGCGCTTCTCCTCCTGGTTGTCAAACAGGGCCTGCCATAACGGGGATGACAAGGGGAAAGGTGCAAGGGGAGGAGAGGAGAGGGGCAGGAAGGATGGAATAATGGACTGCCGGGTTACGGGCGCAAGGGGTGATGGAAAGAGAATAACAAATTGGTTTTACATCTATGAAATGTAATCCTCTTCCGCCACTCCACAACTCTCCCCTGCACCCCCTGTGCAAACTCCCCTCTGCAACCCCCCCCTCTGCAAATTCCCCTCTCCAACCCCCCTCTGCACCCCCCCACAAACACACCAAACATTCACCGAACATCCCATGTGTTAGCCACCAAAACCTGAACCCACCAACCCCCACTCGTCTCATGAGTGCAGCACGGCACCTAGGTGGGCAAGGCGAGCACATCATGAGCAGCAAAAGCAAGCCGTTCATGTTCCAACCACCCAACCCCACCCCACCCTATCCCACCGCACTCCACTCGCCTCGCGAGTTGAGCGCAACACCCAGTCAGGCAGGCTGGGGGCGTCGTGGGCATACACCAGCTGCATCAATCGTTGCACGCCCTTGGGATCATCGGGAAACGATCCTCAGCATACGTGCTCAGCTGCATGGGGCGCTGCACGCCCTTGGGATCATCGGGCAGCAGCAGCTCCGCTATGTGCCACTCCACCCTCTCCCTACTCCTCCCAACCGCACCCCACCCCCGCCCACCTCGTGAGTTGAGCGCAGCACCCAGTCGGGCAGGGTGGGCGCGTCCTTGGCATAGGCCAGGTGCATCAACCGTTGCACGCCCTTGGGATGATCGGGCAGCAACAGCTCCGCGATATGCACCACCTGCCACCCCGACATTTCCCCTAGTCCAACCCCACCCACCTCGTGAGTTGAGCGCAGCACCCAGTCGGGCAGGGTGGGCACGTCCTTGGCATAAGCGAGGCGCATCAACCTTTGCACGCCCTTGGGATCATCGGGCAGCAGCAGCTCCGCTATGTGCGCCACCTGCCACTCGCCCAGCACGGCTGCATGCTCCTCTGCTGACGTCATGAACCCCGACGCCGCCAGCACCAGCCGCTGCACCCGGCCCGGCTCCAAGCAGGCCATTCTGGGGAGGAGGGGAAAGGGGGAGGGACGGTGTGGAGGGGGGGGGGGGGCAGTGGGGAAATCAACAGCTTGCCGCTGCACCCTGCCCGGCTCCAAGCAGGCCATTCTGGGGAGGAGGGGGAGAGGGGCAGGGACGGTGTGGAGGGGGGGGGGGGGGCAGTGGGGAAATCAACAGCTTGCCGCTGCACCCTGCCCGGCTCCAAGCAGGCCATTCTGGGGAGGAGGGGGAGAGGGGCAGGGACGGTGTGGAGGGGGGGGGGGGGCAGTGGGGAAATCAACAGCTTGCCGCTGCACCCTGCCCGGCTCCAAGCAGGCCATTCTGAGAAAAGTGGAAAGGGGGAATGCGTGGACACAGGGGGTTGGCGGGAGGGTTTCAAGAGGTAGTGGTGGGAAGGAAGGGAGGAAGCGAAGAGAGGAGGGTGGGAGGGAGGATTAGAGGGGTTGGTGTTTCTGACACTCTGCCGGGCTCCTGAGGTTGGAGGGAAGGTTGATTATCCCGAAGGAAACCAACCAGCCCTGCCCGGCTCCAGGCAGGCCATTCTGGGAAAGAATGGGGGTAAAGGGGGAAGTTTCATTCTCTAAGGAGAATAAGTTTGTTATCGTGAACTATTGAAGCTTCCCCTAAAAGACTGAAAGCTGCTAACTTGGGATTTTCTCTTCAGAAACTAATTTTTGTTTTTGTACAGCATACTTCACCCAACTGCATGCGACGTGGCCCACCTGCATGCGACGTGGCCCACCTGTATGCGACGAAGCCGCCATAGCTGAGCCCGACGAGCGCGCACTCGGCAATCTCGAGGCGGTCCAGCAGGCGCAGCATGACGTCAGCCTGAAATATTTCCGACCGTTGATCGCTGCGGCTACGCGATCCGCCGAAAAAAACAAGATCCGGCAAAACCACGTCGAAGTCGCGCGAGAACGCCGCGACCTGATTGGTCCACTGCCAGATCGCGGACGCGCCAAAACCGTGAAGCATTAGGAGAGGCGGCTTGCGACGACTTGCTGTCGCATTCCGCTGCAGCGACTGCGATTGCGACAGCGATTGCGAAAGCGACTGTCGCGAAAGGGAGTCGGCATAGTGTCGCGGGGCCCAGCATGCGACGCTGGTTTCGTCGTCCACCTGCACGTCGAGCAGTCGCAGGCCGTGTCGCATGTACCACAGGCGAAGCAATCGCTCCTGAATGCGCACGACGTTCGGCAGGCGAAGAAACGTCGCAGCCATCGCAGGGGAAGCTAATCAACCTGCACGTTTTCCAGGCAGAACGTTACCAAGGCCGAAGGGAAAATCACGGACTCGCAGGGCTTGAAAAAGGGTAGGTATTGTGATGTGACGACTCGTCGAACAGGAAACGGCTTGCGAGGACCGTCTGTCAAATGGCGAGTGCTAGCAGCAGCCATGGCTGCAGATTTGTTGGTCATTTCTCGTGGTACTGCGTTGACCATCGATCATCCATCGCCCTTGCACAATTCGTCCACGCAGTGTGCTGGTCTGTGCTGGCGAAATTGCCAGATGCGTACTCGTTACAGTAAGCCTCTTCTGTTACAGTCACGACCGAGAATGTTTTTGCGTGTCTATAGTGTAATCACATTCATAGAAAGAAACAAGAGACAAATTTCTGTTTTGCTTAGTTGATTCTCAGATGGTGTGACTTCGACGCTTGCCTTTGCACATACAGTGACCAATGTTAAGTTCTTAAGCACGTACAATACACGTACAGCGCTTCGGCTCGTATTTGCAAGCCTGGCTTTTACACTTATGGATATGGACCCATCAAGGGCCTAGCGGATCATATCCTACAATCGACTAATCAACTACTCTCATCCACTGCACTCCATTGGTGCCAACTGGCGGGCTTGGTACGGGGATGCTAATGACTTGCTGGACTCCCCAGGCGTCGTGCATGCGGCCAGGCCCCACTTGCATCCCACCACCGATTTGCTCATCAATCCACCTTCCGAACACTGCTTCTCTTCATGTAGTGTATGTGAGGCGTCCACATGCATATCCGTACTGCACGGATTGCCTTGCATTGCCATCTTATCTTCGTCTCGCATGTCTTCACCTGGAGGGTATTGGGCGTCCACATGCATACCCGCACTGCACAAGGCATCCTGTGTTTCCATATCGTCGCCCCCTTGCTTCTCTCCATGTGACCGGCATGCAGCGTCCGCATGCATGCCCACATAGTGGAATCTGTCCTCCTGCTCTGCCATCTCATGCATGCCCACCTCCTCCATATCAGTACAGCCTGTGTTGGGTGCTGCTCTGACCATCGCTTGTGCTGCTTCGGGTTTCTCCGCTGCTGCTTCACGTGGTGCCGCCTGCGGTCCTGTCATTGTGGTGGCTGTTTCAGGCACTGCTGCTGTGCTTTGAGGCAGTGCTGCTGTGCTTTGAGGCAGTGCTGCTGTGGGTTGAGGCAGTGCTGCTGTGGGTTGAGGCAGTGCTGCTGTGGGTTCAGGTAGTGCTGCTGTGGGTTCAGGTAGTGCTGCTGTGGGTTCAGGTAGTGCTGCTGTGTGTTGAGCTGCTTCACCTGCCTCTGCTGCTTCAACTCCTGTCTCTGTGGTTTCAGGTAGCCTAATTGCTGCATCAGCCGTCACTGCTGCTCCTGCTGCCTCAGCTGCTTCAGCGATTTCAGTCACCACTCTTCCTGGCACTGCACTGGTGCCTGGCTCAACGATGCTTGCCCCACAATTGCCAGCAGCAGCAGAAGCAGCAGCTGCATCACATGCAGACTCCTCAGCCCTACGCCTCTTACGGCACCCGGAAACCATGCCTTGTGCCGCTGCTACTCTGGCTGCTGCTGGGTTCGCTTGGATCTCTGCTGTCACTGTGGTTGCTGCTGGGGTTGCTAGGAGCTCCGCTGTTACTGCTGGTGCTGCCTCTGCTGGCGCTACCTCTGTGTGACTTCCATATGATACCCCACAAGCACAGAGGTGCCAGGACGCCAGCTCCTAGTCTCCCTTCCAGGGAGGCGGTGACAGGCGGAGGAGGAGAGGCGGGGGGGAGGAGAGTGGGGAGGTAGCGGATGGAGGGTGTGCAGGGCGACCTGTGAGGGGGATAGAGGAGGGGACGGCAAGGAGAGGGTGGGGAAGAGGGGCGGAGAGGCAGAAAGGGGTGTGAGGAGCAGTGGGGCTTGCAGGAAAAGTTTAATTGGGGGATGGGAGCAGGCTACACTTGGTTGGAGTTTAGGAAATGGAGGCAGCATGCCGAGATGCACAAGAGGGCAATATGAATAAGATAATGAGAAAAGGCGAGAGACAAATCTGTCAAAGAGAGTGGGAAGAGCGAAATTCTGTGGGAAGTGCAGAGCAGGCAAGAAATGTGCCAGCAGTAGACACCGAGAGAAGTACACTCGTAAAATCATTCGTAAGCAAAATGAAATCGATCGATGAAAGCAAGGCTTACAGAGGAGTCATCTGCAGCAGAGAGCATGGAATCCCCGTCCACAGGTGACCTGGGTGATGCGAGGATGGGGTGATGGGGATGGGAAGACGGAGATGTTGAGAGATCGGTAGGGGTGGTAAGGTAGGGATGGTGAGGTAGGGGTGGTGAGGTAGGGGTGGTGAGGTAGGGTTGGTAAGTAGGGGTGGTGAGGTAGGGGGACGGAGTGTTTGGAAGAAAAGAAGACACAAAGGGCTTGCATTGACATGCATCACATCCCATGCGGCATAATGTGCTGCCACATGCACCATGACATGCAACACATGCACCACGGCATGCAACGCATGCACCAGGCTAACAAGTAACACCTATTTGCTCCTATCGGTGCACGTTAGGTCCTGAATAATCCCCATCATCACAACCCCATCACCCCATCCACCTTCACTCATCACCCCATTACCCCCATCATCCCCACCCCCACCATCCCCAGCAACATATCCCCACCAACATAATCACCCCATCCATCATAATCACCCCCTCCATCATAATCACCCCCTCCATCATAATTACCCCCACCATCAGGCACCCACCAGCGGAGGGCGGTAACCTCCCCCTGGTGCGCCTGGAAGGTGACAGATGGCATCGTGTCATTGGACGACAGCTGTATGGGGAGGAGAGGGACGGTGAGATGGACACGTCAGAAAAGGAGGGATAAGGGCAAGGCAAACGGGAGAGGCAGACAGTAGAGAAGGAAGGCACAAGTGTTGCACAGTGGTGAAAGAGGCGCACAAAACCACATGGCATGCAAGTCCTGAGGACAAGAAAACTGTGAATGAAAATCAAAACGATCACAGATAGAGTATTTTGTCGCAAAGATACATGTGGAAACAATAATATAAGTAGCTGTATTAACACAATGAACAAAAAATAGCTTGTGTCACCTGCCACACGTTGATGTTGCCGTCACTGCCACCGCAAGCCACCCGGCTGCCGTCGCTGCTGATGCTCGCCTGGAGAAGGGCACGGGAGGGAGGAGAGCGAAACATGGGTGCGTGCTGCTGCTGCTCGTGATGTATGCATGTTTGTCAAGCCGAGATCTGATCTTATGTGTGCGCGTGTGTGATGTGCGGATGCGATTTTGTCCAATCACTGCTTGAAATGCATATGGGAAAATGCGTGTGCATGCGTCCGTGTTCTTAATAGGTGTGGACAAGGTCATGATGCAATCTACGCACAGATGAAATCAGTGGGGTCAAAGTTCCACTTTTCATGCTTTCGCAGCTTGATATCAGCTCCACACTTGCATGCGATGAAGTTTTGAGCGTGCCTGCAGTCGAGCCTAGGCGCAGAGGCAGGTGGCGATCCCTCCTTACCTCCACAAAGGAGTCGATGTGAGCGCCCTGCAGGGCATGCGAGACCATCGCAGCTTCTACAGTCACAACCTCACACGCCTAAACACAGGCGGGTGGCGATGGCACACAGACATGCATCTCGCCTCGCTGTGCTCACCTCCACAAAGAATGAGTCAATCTGAGCGCCCTGCAGGGCGTGCGAGATGCTGGGCAGCCGTGCACTCATGTCCAGCACGTACACTCTGACAAAGGAGAGAGGGAGCGGGGGGGGGGGGCGGTGGTGTAATATGGGAGGGATGGGAGGACTTTCGAGGTGCCTCGAAGGGCAGCAGTGCACTCATGCCCACCACGTACACTCTGATGGATGGGCAGGATGGTGGGATGAGGAACATGGGAGGGATGGGAGAGAGATAGGAGAGTCATGTCTGCCAGAAATATTGTGTGGAACGACCATGCACGCACGGCAATGCAGTGAGTGTTGAGGGAAGAAGGGAATGGATGGGATAGCAGGTTGTGCCTACCAATAACCCAGATGCGCAGTGCCACACACAACACGGGGTGATGAGGTTTGTGGAAAGCGAAAGCGGAGATGAGGGTGGTGGAAAGCGGTTGCAAGCGGTGGAAGCAGGAGCTTGGCGGTAAGATGTTTGGTGGTGAGAGAACCTGCCGTTGGTGCTGAGTGCAGCGAGGCACGAGCCGGCTGTGCTCGCACTCCCTCACTCCCACTCCCCAGCTCACACTCCCTAACTGGAAAAACTCCTTCACCACCACCCATATCCACTATCAGCAACCGCACCTGCCGTTGGTGCACGAGGCAGTGAGGCACGACTGAGTAGACGCTCCCTTAAGTGCCCAAACCACCATCAGCACCACCAATTTACTCACCAGCAGCATCAGCAGCAACCTCACCTGCCGTTGGTGCACGAGGCAGTGAGGCAAGATAACTGTGTAGAGACTCCCTTATTCGCAAAGTTACACTCATCACTGTCACCACCACCATCACCATCACCACCAGCAACCTCACCTGCCGTTGGTGCAGGAGGCAGTGAGGCGCGAGCCATAGGCGTCCTGAGAGAGACTCGTGATACCCCGCACGCGCCATGGGGTGGCCGTATGAGGCGGCTGGAGGGGTGAGGAGAGGTTGGGAGGGGGTGGGTTGGGTTGCGATAGGGTTGAAGAGAGAGGGAGTGATGGGGAGGGCATCATTGGCATCTTGAGAGAGGCTGGTGATGCCGCACACGCGCCATGGGGTGATCGTGTTGTGTGAGGGGACTGGAAGGGGCGGGTTGGGGACGAGATGGTGAATTGGAAAGAGCGGATGGAGAATTGGGGGTTGAAGGACTGGGGAGACGAGGGAGGGGGAATGTGGGGGAGGGGGAGGGGGAAGTGCTGCGTAGCACCGCATTCCTGCTCTCCAGTAACACACGCTGCAGGTGGAGAATCCAGAGGCGAGGAAAGGGGGGAGGGGGGCGCGCGCTGCAGGTGGGCAATCCAGAGGCGAGGGAGAATCAGGGCTGCTGGTGGGACAGATGGGCATGCTGTGAGGATCAGGCAGGCGTAGCCAGTGGGCCATGGGCAAGGGGCGAGGGGCAAGGGGCGAGGGCAAGAAGAATGGGGAAAACGGGCAACAGGTGAGTAACAAGGGTTCAGTCATTCCACAACGCAAGCCTAGTCACTGAACACAAAGCAACGATTTGGACCTGACTCCACTCCTGTGATTCACTTGTTGCTCACCTGGTGAGGGGCTGGCGTGGCGCTGGGGCACACGGTGGTGAGCGGCTCTCTCAAGGCGCGCGTGTCCCAAAACTTGATGGCTCTGCTCTCATCCATGCCCGCATGCACACACGCATGGAACAGCACAGCACACACAAAGCAACAGCACACAGGGACGATGAGACTCATTTCTTGAGGCGCCTCAAAAATAGCCATGGCCCCACGAAGAGCACAGCACACCCAGAGCTAGGGGAACAAGGAAACGGAACCGATAAGTATGAATGCAATCTTTTGTCCCTCCCCATTGGGACCCAGCAATCTGAGTGCACCCAACCCAGCAGCTGCACACTGAGCATCGGAGCTGCACGCTGAGCATCGGAGCTGCACGCTGAGCATCGGAGCTGCACGCTGAGCATCGGAGCTGCACGCTGAGCATCGGAGCTGCACGCTGAGCATCGGAGCTGCACGCTGAGCATCGGAGCTGCACGCTGAGCATCGGAGCTGCACACTGAGCATCGGAGCTGCACGCTGAGCATCGGAGCTGCACGCTGAGCATCGGAGCTGCACCTTAGCACAGGACTGATTCTCGAATCCATAGCTGGTGACATCACTGCAGGTGCCCACCAATCCTGGCTCCTTTACTAGACCCGCCCAATACCTCGAGACCTGTCCGTATCACCATTCCCTCACTCGCCCCATACAACTAATCCATATCTTCCATCCCACCCATCCCATCCCATCCCATCCCATCCCATCCCATCCCATCCCACCCATGCCATCCCATCCCATCCCATCCCATCACATCCCACCCATCCCATCCCATCCCACCCATCCCATCCCATCCCATCCCATCCCATCCCATCCCATCCCATCCCATCCCATCCCATCCCATCCCATCCCATCCCATCCCATCCCATCCCACCCACCCATCCCATCCCATCCCATCCCATCCCATCCCATCCCATCCCATCCCATCCCATCCCATCCCATCCCATCCCATCCCATCCCATCCCATCCCATCCCATCCCATCCCATCCCATCCCATCCCATCTCATCCCATCTCATTCCACCCATCCCATCCCATCCCATCCCATCCCATCCCATCCCATCCCATCCCATCCCATCCCATCCCATTCCGCTCATCCCATCCCATCCCACCCATCAGAGGCACCAGCGCTGAAGAGCGTGCGGGCGTCAAGGAGAAAGAGCACAGCGAGGCGGCAAAAGCACCACACAGCACCCCTACACACCCATCCCAACCACCCACCCGTCAGAGGCGCCAGCGGTGAAGAGCATGCGGGCGTCGAGGGAGAAGAGCACAGCAAGACGGCACATGGTACCACGCAGCACCGCACAGCACCACCCATGCAACCCATCCCACCCATCCCAACCCAACCACCCACCCGTCAGAGGCGCCAGCAGAGCATGCATGCGTCCAGGGAGAAGAGCACAGCGTGGCAGCACAAAGACACAGCGAAGCACCACACAGCACCCCTACCCACCAATCCCAACCACCCACCCGTCAGAGGCGCCAGCAGTGAAGAGCATGCGGGCGTCATGAGAGAAGAGCACAGCCGTGACAGAGCACCCCACCACAGGCCGGATGCGCACCCGCTGCTGCTGGGACCTGCCCTTGTGCTGCTGCTGGTGAGAGTGAAGAACGGGGGAGGGTGGGCGGGAGGAGAGGGGGGGCGGGGGAGGGCAGGGAGGGGAACAGGATGGTGACAGGGCATCCCAGCACGGGGCGCATGCGTGCGGTCGCTGCTGCAGTGCAGAGAGCGAAGGGAGGGGCTGGGAGGAGGCAGAGAGAAGAGAAGGGAGCACATCCCACCACGGGTTGGATGCGAAGCACCTAAGATGGCCTTTGCTTGGGAGAGAGGGGCTGGGAAACGGGTAGGGTGTAAGGGGTAGATGGAAGGACAAAAGAGGGGGGAAGGAAAACAGAACAGGGGAGGCGAGATAGTAGGGATTTGGTGGAGGGGTGGGGGGGTGAAATGGGATAAGGGAGAGAGAACGGGCAGATAGGCGGAGGGGGGGGGGGGGGGGGGGGGAGTTTGAGAAAGGGGGAAAGAATGAAGAGAGATGCAAAGGAAGGGGAGGAAGGTTGTTTGGGGCTGGGAGAGTAGGGACGTACTGGGGGCAGCAGTAGCGGGTGACGCCATGAGGGGCGGGTGGTTTCAGGGAGATGCGCCCGCGGTATGGCCCTGAGGGGTGGTGTGCGGGGCAGAGGGATGATGAGCGATAAGGGGAGGGTTGACAGGGGATAGAAGGCAAGCACAAAGCACGTGACACGAGCCACAACTCCCTTGCAAAGGACACAGGGCATGTGGCATGGGGCTCAAGGCACAACGGAAGGCATGTAGCAGAATAGCTGGGTGTGAGTTAATGCGGAGACAAGGAGGAGCGAGCAATCACCCAGTAGGCTGGGAGGAGGTGCGAAGGTCCCACAGCAGAACAGCACCGTCTCGTGCCGCTGTTGCGACAGAATCTGGTGAGGGAAGCGGGAGGAAATCGAGGGGTGGGAAGGAGAGGGGAAGTAGCGCACTTCACAGGATGGTTTGAGGGCTGGTAATGCGTTGCATTGCAATGCAATGGTTGAACGATGGAATGTGGGGTGGTCGACGCTTGAACGACCATGAGAGATGCACTCCATCTAAACAAGGTCGATACAAAATCTCATGGTCGAAACTCTAAGAATGTTGTGAACAATATCAATACAATGGAAATTCACAGTGTCTGTGCTTCTGGAGATTGTACTTGTCCAAATAATACATTTTTTTGCGTTGAGATGCACTCCATCGAAACAAGTCAACCCCTGCTTTTACTCCGTAACGGGAATACGGGCGTGTGCTCAATTCTCACGCAGCGGTGGAAAAATGAAGATATAAAACGGTTGGATTCGGTCGTTTTGGGGCGAGAGAAGCGTCTACCACACGCCAATATCACACCACATACTTCCTAGGTCACGAAACCTCCCACCTATCCCAGTTGACACGTGCCTGGGTTGGTGGGATGCGTAGCAGCGCATTTGACGGTGGCGCCATGACCTCGCAGCACGGACAATCGCACCGAGCCGCTCGGCGCCACCTGCCAGCACGACGCCGTGCGATCGCCGGAACACGCGAGGACGCGACGGCCGTCCTGAGGAAGAACAGGGAGATGGGTAAAGACGCAAATTTCGATGGGCAAAGGCAACGACATGTTTTGGCGCAATTTGCCGCAATAGCTCGGTGCCACCTGCCGTGCGATCGACGGCTATTTTGACGAATTAAACGAAGAAGGGCAACGATGTGAGCGGAAACGGGTAACGATGCAACAGGCAAGGAACAAAGAGAAAGGAATCGACGTTATCGCACGGCGCCACCTGCCAGCGCGATCGCAACAAGTCGCGAGGAGGAGACGGTCGCCCTGCCGTGAAGGACGGAATCGAACGACAAGCAGACGACGCAGACCAGAAGGCGCAAGGAGGGACAAGGGTCAGCGGTCTGAGGCGACCCGCAGCGACAGTCGCGGAGGAGAGGCGAGGAGGGGGTCACAAGCGCAAGTTCGCGCGGCACGGAAGAGGTTAGGGCGACGATGGATGCGCGGCGCAGGAAGGCAGAGGCTATGCGGCGCAGGCCGTATCGTTGACTCTTCCCCGTATCGTTAATTAACTCTTCCCCGTACCGTTGACTCTTTCCCGTACCGTTGACTCTCCCCCGTACCGTTGACTCTCCCCCGCTCACTCTCCCCCGTATTGCTCACCCTCCCCCGTGCCGTTGGAATTTCACCCGTACCGCTCACTCTTCCCCCGTACCGCTCACTCTTCCCCCGTACCGCTCACCCTCCCCCGTACCGCTCACTCTTCCCCGTACCTTGAGCCAGCACACGTCGAATACGGAGTTGTCGTGTGCAAGCCACGTGGTCGATGGCCGCGTCGTATACGCGTTACAGTCGGACCCGCTATCCTTTTGCGCGCACACGGAAAGCGTTGGCAGCGTGTTGACGACATTCACGAAACCGAGCTCGTCGCTCATCGCTGCTAAATGAGTTTCGTCCGGGCGCTGCCAGTGGGTGAGAAACGAAATGGGACATGGTAACATGGTAACAGTTACATGGTAACCAGTTCTCTATGGGACCGAGACAAGCACGAGCTTCTCGGGTGAGCTAAAGCATGGCCAGATGCGTCATCCCATGTGTGAGGCGAACAGACTTCGAGGGTCGATAATCAACGCCACACCATCGCAGAGGGTGAAACATCGCGTGCCCACCCCCGACGAGTGCCAGCAATGTACGGCTCACCTCGCCGAGAGCCGTCACGCACGGGCTCACCTCGCCGAGAGCCGTCAATCACGGGCTCACCTCGGAGAACGCTACCGCCAGCGGGATTGCCGGCGTGTGGCTCTGCCACGCGAGCTGCGACGCGAGGGGCGCCGTCAGCGCGCGGCGCGTGAGGTGCTGCTGAGCCGCGCGGGCCGTGCCTGGGGTGGAGGCGGAGGGTAATGCGCACAGTCTCTGAGACGGAGATACCCGACTGGGGTGAGGCGTGCGTACTGTCGCGAGCGGACAGAGTGATGTGCATGCAGAAGAGGCTACGACGCAATGCCTGCTCGTAGAATTGTTCGACGCAGCCCGCCAGAAAGGTTCACTTAGCTAGAATGGCTATGTATCACAGCAAGGTTAGCAGGCAGGCCGACCTGCGGTCTGTTTCCGTACCTCGTGATGTACCCAGTTCTCTCCGCCGAAGCAGAGAGTGAACATCCGAGGCATTCATCGGCGGTGAGTCTGTTCGCGCCGCGGAAGAGCAGAAACTACTAGAATAGTACGAATAACTTTTGAAGTCGCAGCGGACTGGGCCAAAGATATGAGTTCAATGCGAATGGAAAAGGGAGATTGACGAGGCACTGACTATGGGGGTGGCAGTAACCAGTGAATACAAAGCACAAGGGAATGAACTGCAGAGAAGAAATCCAAGAGGGGGTCTTCTGATCGTCCCAGTAGGTGTGGGTGCGAGAGCTCACAAAGAAGCAGGAGAGTGAAAGCGGTCCAGTGCGTTATAAACAGGTTTAAGACGATTCTGAGTTTCCACCGACGCGAAATGTTCTGTATCGCGTATTCACGTACTTGACCGCACGTGACCCGCCCTGAACAGTCAGTGTTATTGAGGGACTTGAAATTTTGAATTCAAAATTTATGGATCGCTGAAGCATTAGCGAGAGGTTGCGAAGAGAATTATCCATGGTGTAACTAACAGTGATTGTGTACATCCATGTTATGAGTTGAGATTCTGTTCAAGGATTATTCCTGGGTAGACATGGAAGGGTTACCTCTCTAGAGCCAAGATACAGGTGAGGGGGGTTTTTTTATATACGGGGTGAGACGGATTGAAATCCGTACAGCAATACGGTGCCAGGAGGTGTGTAAACTTTTTTTAGTGATTCAGTGTGGCAGACACAGCCCTAATCACCACTTCTTGACCATCCTAATACAGGGCTGAGGGCTTCCTCCTGGTCCAAAGCCCCAGCACTAGTATCGGGGCGTTGCGGTGTCACTACTCCCCCGTTGGACCTTGTGCGACAAGCTCTTTGCAAACACCCGTTTCCTTAAATCCGGCGACCCATCTCTCTCAAGCACTGCCCCCTGACCGGCTGGGTCTTCATACGACACACTGCGACCAATTCTGGAGGGGCTGGAAGAGTGGCAGGCGTGGGAAGCATGGGAAGAGCGTGGGTGCATGGCATAGTCATGCTGCTGCCCTGGCGGCTCGCCCACCACATGCTGCTGTGCGCCCCAGTTACCCCACCCATGTGCATGGTGGGCGCTCTGACTATGCTTAGGGTGGTGGCTGCTGGCCTTGGTGCGATGCGGCAAGGAGAAAACATCCCGGCCGGTGTGGCCCCAGAGGTGCTTGAGGGAAATGCGCGAGGCGACACTCCATCGGCGAGTGAGCCCAGGGAGATGCTCGGAAGGAGAATCCGGGCTCGCGGCACCATGAGCACCACCACTAGAGGACAAGCCCCTACGGTGGGGATCAATTTCCCGTCTACCTGATTCACCATCATAACTCCTCCTGCTTGAGTCCAGGCGATACTTTTCTTGGTCTGCTTCCAAGCTTCTAGGATCGGTCCTTGATCGAACCATAGGTGGTGTGACGAGCAACCTGCTGCCATGCCCGGCCTCAGACCGTTTTTTCTCATCCTCCTCCCATCCCTCCCCTTGCACTGCCAGCCTGCCCGATCTGTGGCCTCTCATCCCACCATAGCACCTAACAGCATTGCCGGCAGCAGCAGCGCCCATATCAAGATAGGGAGGTGAGCCTCCGCAGCTGCTACTACTGGCACCAGCTTCCCGGCCATGCGAGCCCCAGTTGAGGGTTCTAACCACGAGCTTCTCACTGTCTCCCTCGCGCACTGACCTGCTGCGCATGAAGGGCCCGCTGTGAAAGATGGAATCCAGGCCGGCCCACGCAAGCTTTATGCCCTTGCTGGGGGTGGGAGTGGTGGAGGTGGATGCGGTGGAGGTGGGTGTGGCGGAAGTGGGAGTGGTGGAGGAGTTGCCTCTCCTGCTGAAGGACGAACTGAATTCAAACCAACCATGGTTCCACGTATGATGGTGGTCTGAATTGCTCCTCACTACACTGCTCAAATCGTCGCAGTCCCCCAATTCGCCGATTTCGCCAGTGTAACTCGCTTTCGCGTCAGCCAGTTCGCCAACCAGATTGCCTTCCCTGTTATAGCTTGCATCATTCGAAGCAACCCAACCAGACGCAAGACTTCGCCTTGAACCGGCGCTTTCAGTAATGCGGACTTCACTGCGTTCCATGGATTGCGAGCATCGAACGCCAGGAGGCGGAGGAGAGACCGGCTTGCCAGCGGAAGCAGTTTCATTTTGACCTAATCCGTTACCGTCCTTGACGCTGTGAGACTTCGCGAAAATTCGACTGCTTTCCACACCCGCCCAATCATTCCTCCCACCACTGCCACCGCTGCTAATGGAGTGGCTGCCAGTGCTCCACGTGGCGCCGCGCCCGATTGCACGCGGTTAGTGGCAACGGTTAGTGGCAACGGTTTCGGCGGATTGTGCGGCAGTACAGCCCTGTCCCTTTCAAGACTGCTGCTATCGCCACTGCCGTCACTCCCTGCTCGCTCAAACTGCCAAGTTGCCCCGTTGCGCTCCCTTCCGTTCTCCTCATGGTGTCTCGCGAACGTAACTTCGTTACGGTAGTCCTCAGCTGCGGCGTCGTCTTTCGTAGAGTCGCCACCGTCGTCTCTTAAAATGCCCGCTGCTGCAGGGCGTTGCTCCACGTCATCTACTCCTCTCCGCACCGCCTGTGCCCCCTTGCGTCGCGCGAACCCACGAGCCGACGTGACGGACGTCGATTCCACCTTGGCGGCGGCAGGCAAAACGCGCCTCTGACTTGTCACTTTTTCCTCCCACGGATGTTCGGTCCCGCTACACCCAACGCCTTGCCAGCAACTCCCGCAGTTAGTCTCTCCGCAGAACCTGCTGCTGCTGGAGCCGGGTCGCGCGGCGACGAGCTGAAGAAGGCTGCTGCTGCGGCCTTCGTCTCCAAGGCCGTGGCGCTCCGTCCATCCTTCCACAGCGTCCTCAGTCACGCGGTGCCGCCGCTGCAGTGAGGGACGGCGCAGCGTCGCGACGAGCAGCCGCCACGCGCTGTGCGCCTCGCGCACCACGCGCTGCGCCTTCCGCGCGAATTTCTCCCAGTCGTCCGCGAGGCTGCGCTGCGGGGATTCGAGGATCCGCCATGGGGTGGGCCCCACCGTCGTGAACCCTCCCGCGTCGGCCCACGCCTTCACTTGCGGCAGCGCCGTCGCCGCGACGGCCGCCGTCTCCCCCGCCTCGACAAGCGCATCGTCCGCCGCCACCACGACCAGCTTCCACGAAACTTCCGACCCCAGGCCCGGCCGCAATCGCACGGGCAGCGCGAGGAGCGGCAGCACGGGGAACACGTCGCCGGGGTCGCGCTCCCTTGCGCCCACCTCCACCGCCTCCAACGGCGCGTTGTCCAGAATCACGGGAAACGCGGCGTCGGGCTCGGCGATTGGGTCGCCAGAGGTGTCGCTGAAGGTGTCTTTCAGAGGGTCGACGAACGGGACAGAAGGCACGGAAAGCGAGCGGAAGAAATCGCGCCTGATCGTAGCGACGGGTTCGTTGGGGGAGAGTGCGGTTGGGGTCGGTTCGGAGGGGGGAACGGGCGCGAGGACGCAGGTCTGCGGGATAATACCGACGTTCCACGGGCGCTGCTCCGCGTCGTCGACGCGCACGCTGCCGTCGAGCGACAGGCGACGGCGACGACCCGAGAGCGACGCGGCGAACGAGGAGGACTTGGCGGACGTGCAGATGAAGTTGAGCGGCGCGGGGAGCTTGCTGCGGGACGAGCGGGGACTGGCGGCGGCGGGAGTGGGGGAGAAGAGGACGACGTCGTGCCAGATGGAGACGATGAGGCCCGCGCGAATGAGCGGAAGGAGGTTGCCTTGAGGCCGTTCCGACATGATCCGATTTCGGCTCTGTGATTTTTACACAAAATAGCCTTTTTATGCCATTTTACACTATCAATTTCACAGTTTTTCACGAAACTTTCCAAAAAATGGCTGAAAAAGCAGCCCTGATTCTTAAAATCAGCCTGAAATCTCAGCCTTTGTTTTACCTAAAACAGCCTATTTTCGCTGAAATCTGAGGCCCTGACAAGCAAAGGGCCACAAGGCCAGTTCACATGTAGAGGTATATATGCAACAAGAACAGTACAGTGATCTCTACCTAGCAAGAGCAAGCATGCAGGTATATATATACATATATAGAACATAGTACAAGCAGAGTCTTTAGCAAGTGTGGAAATGTAGGCACAAGGCCTAACAAAGTACCAAAACGTTGATGATCACCGGACGGAAGTGCCTTGGTGAATACATCAGCAGTGTTGGCCCGAGTGGCCACGTGAGCAAGACGAAGCTGACCTCGCTGCTGCAACTCTCGAGCCAGGAAGTAACGCAGAGCGATGTGTTTCGTTCTGTGCTCTAGTCTGTGCTCCTCACACAAGGCAATAGCGGCCTTGTTGTCGACGTACAGAACTGGAGGAGAACGAGGCCGCTCTCCCAAGCCAGTCAGCAGGTAGGTGAGCCAGCGTAACTCCTGTGCAGCCATGGCTGTGGCGTAGATCTCAGCCTCACAACTGGAGCTGAGAACAGAAGACGAGCACGTGGACCACCACGAAACAGAGCGAGAGCCAATGCTGAAGGTGTAACCCTGTGACGACCGCTGCGTAGCCTGGTCGTCAACCCAAGACGCGTCAGAGTGTCCAGTGAGGACAACGGCGCTCCGTCCTCCAAGCACGAGCCCCATGCCCGATGTACTGCACAAGTAGCGCAGTACCCTCTTTGCAGCATCCATGTGCACCTTTCGGTGCCGACCAGGAGCCACGTAGCGTGCCAGAAGGCCAAGAGGGTACGCGAGGTCAGGACGAGTGCCGGTCGTGAGGTACATGAGGCAGCCCACTAGCTCTACGTAACGACCACTCGACTCTGCGGACTCGTCCGAAGGTGGAGCTGAGAGCGAGTGACCTGTAGCCAGCGGAGTGGGCTGTGGGGAGGACCAGGTGAAGCCGAAGCGCTGAAGGACCTGCTGCACCATGTGTGACTGAGTCAGTGTGATGGTGCGGCGTGCTCTGTCCTGGGTGATCTGCAAGCCAAGGTAACTGCGCAGCTCACCCAGGTCAGTGCACGTGTGTCTCTTCTGCAGCTCCAACTTCACCAGGGCGAGAGCCTCAGTGTCAGAAGTGGCAAAAACCAAGTCGTCAACGTACACGAGGATGTAGAATGGCGACAGCGAAGTGTCGATGCGCAGAAACAGCGACGGGTCAGCAGTCGAAGGAGCGAACCCAAGAGCTGCAAGTGTAGTCCTCAGTGTGTCGTGCCACTCACGAGGCGCCTAGCGGAGACCGTAGACTGGCCGCCGGAGGCTCCACTGGGTACCGGGAGGGAACGACCCAGTGAAGCCAGATGGGCGGCGCAGCCAGATCTTCTCGTGCAGGCTGCCCTGTAAGAAGGCTGTGCTGAAGTCAAGAGAGTGAAGCTCATAGTCACGCTGAGCGGCAACGTGCAGCAGCAACCGAAGAGTGGTCATCTTCGGGGTAGGAGAGAAGGTCTGGAAGAAGTCAACTCCCTCACGCTGACTGAAGCCTCTAGCAACGTAACGAGCCTTGAAGACAGGTGGAGAACCCGGCGGCCGCTTCACCCTGAAAATCCGCATGCCATCGACGATGTTTTTATAGTCACAGTAGGCTCCAATAGGCTTCAATGTGCCTAGAGCCAAAGATAGAGTGCGCAGTCAGGTTTCTGCACAGCGGCTTTAAACGATCATAGCGATCTGCTCACAACTCCAAATGACCTCATTCAACTTGGATCTGGAGCGTCTTAATGTCGCCTACAATAGGCAATTTAGATCGCACGATTTCATCAAGAATTGACGACACAGCGTCAGTTTGAACAAACGGCACTATGGCAGCAACATAGTCTTAGAACACAATTACGAACAACTAGGAAGAGTTACGAGTTGGGAAGGACTCCCAGCTCCTACAAACCCCAAGAACCGAGCTACAGTGATGGGGAACAGTGCCACACTGTCCCCAACCAAGAAGGGTCTCGAAACTACCCTCCACAAGGGCCTACACCCATAGAAATGTTACACTACACTTTGTAATGTAACTATCTTCAATATCTTGAGGTGTACCCTTTTGGCGAGCTTCGAAAACACTTGAAGCTTGAACCAAGGCTCGGGTTCTTCATCACAAAACTCATCCTTGAGTTCTTGATGGGTCTGCTGCACACACCTGCGACACGCCGAACGTTCGACAAGCGACAAAATAGAAACCGCGCACGACAAAATAGAACCCGCGCGGGACACACAAAATGACCGCGTTACACGCGGCTAGCGATAACTCGCTATTGACTTGACACACACATTCGACATCATGACCCATCATTCATACACCATTATAAGCATGAAATATATATATTTATTTCATGCACTCATACCACTCCATGCACACACGCATGCACGCACACGCACACGGACAACAAGCCGAGTGCAAACCGTAGGGTTGCACCAACAGATGTTCGCCCCAGGAGGGGGAACCTCATCGACGTAAGTGCCTCTGGACTTCCAGGATGCCATCTCTGCGTCCATGGCTGTCTGCCACTGAAAGGAGTACTCACCCGCGATCGCCTCAGCGTAAGAGCGCGGGGTCGGGATGTCTGGTGCATACGGGTCTCCCTCAGGTGTCAAACATTGCATGTTTATATTGTCTAGGCTGTAGTGGGTTACACCTTAGGGGGTACACAAAGTTAGGGTTTCCTACTTGTACCAAACTCTGTTCTAGTTCATTCATTCCTGCTCAGTTATTTCTGACATGGTTTCAGAGCAGGTCCTTCGCTAGGACTGTTCTTAGGGCCCACCGACTTACCTACCTGCTTACCTTCGCTTGTTTCCGGCCCCGCTGGCCCCGTCGATCTAGCACGATCTAGCGGCCCTGCGGCCCCGTCGAACTTTTTTTTTTTCCTAGCGGCCTCTCACGGCCCCCGTCGCGTCGCCCCTTAGCGCCCCGATCGGCCCCGTCACGCCGCCCGCGAACCGCACAGCGCGCCGCGCTCACAGCCCGCGAACCGCCCACGCACAGCCCGCGAACCGCCTGCGCAGCCCGCGACCAGCCCGCGCAGCCCGCGCACAGCCCGCGAACTGCCCGCGAGCAGCCCGCGACCTGCCCGCGAACCCCCGCGAGCCGCCCGCGACCCGCTTACGCAGCCCGCGAGCAGCCCGCGCAGCCCGCGCTGAGCCTGCGCGGCTCGTGCGCTGACCGCCGCCGGCCCGCACGCTGCCCGCACAGCTCATATACGGCCCGCACGGCCCGCGCGCTGCCTGCTCCCGGCCCGCCGCTGCTGAGCCCGCAGCCGCCCGCGCACCGCCGCTGCTGAGCCCGCCGCCGCCCGCGCACCGCCGCTGCTGCGCCCGCCGCCGCCCGCGTATCACCGCTGCTGAGCCCGCCCCTGCTGCGCCGGCTCTCGCTGCCGCCTGCTGCGCCTGTGCACCACTGCAGATCCTACTACTACACTTCCTGCTACTGCTGCTTGTGCGCCACTACAGTCCGTAGGCCCCACCGGCCCCGCTGACCCTGCGCACGCCTTTTCAGTGACTTTACTGCTTCTACTACTGCCGCTGTCGCTATGGCTAGTCCTCCTGTTCTAGCTTTCGACGCCGAGGGCCGTCCGGTCAAATTCGAAACCTGGCTAGATGACCTGCACCTTTTCCTACAGCTCACTGCCAAGGAAGATATTACACTGTACGACCACGCTCTCGGCCATGCGACCGCCCCACTCGCTACTGCCCCCCCAGCTGAGCGCTCACAGTGGCAGACCCGTGACGCGCACGCTCGCTTTGCTATTCGCAACTCCCTGCCGCTAGATGAGCGCGAGCACTTCGGCCAGTGCAAGACTGCTAAGGACCTCTACACAGCTGTAGTGGCCCGCTACTCCTCACCCGCTTCTGCCACGCTAGGCCGCCTCACTCTCCCCTACCTGTTCCCCGACCTAGCCTCCTTTCACACTGTTGCAGACCTCATCACCCACCTTAAGACTAGTGAGGCTCGCTTTCGCGCTGCCATGCCTGACGAGTTCCTCGCTAGCAACCCCCCCCCGCTCTGGATCACTCTCTACCACGTTGTCACCCGCCTCCCTGACTCTCTGCGCCCTGTCAGGGACCAGTTCCTCTCTCGCTCCCCCACTGAGCTCACCGTAGACCTCCTCGAGAAGGAACTGCTTGCAGCCGAGGCTAGTATCGTCGCTGTAGGCACCTCTCGTGGCGACCCCCGCGGCCCCTTCTTCGAGGGGTGCTCCCCTTCCCCCCTCCTCCCCTCTGTCGCCTCTGCTGCTGCTGTCGACCTCCTTGGTGCTGAGAAGGTCGGGGCTGCGTCTGCTTCAGGCGGACGACGCAGGGGCAGGAGTGGCAGGAGTGGGGGTGGTGGCGGAGGAGGCGGGGGTGGAGGTGGTGGCGGTGGAGGTGCGACTGGAGAGGCTAGTGGCGGCAGTGGTGGAGGTGACAGCGGCGTTGGGAGTGGTGACAGGGGCGGAGGTGGCAGCGGAGGCGGAGGTGGTCGTGGCAGCGGCAGGGGTGGAGGTGGCCGGGGCGGAGGCGGAGGGGGTGGTGGTCGTGGAGGCCCGGGGGGCGGTCAGAGTCAGCAGCCTGCCCCGACCCTTCAGGCCGCCCGTGAGTGGTATGCGCGGCGCAGCGTCACCTGCCAGTACGTTATTCGTACAGGTGACCGCACTGGCCAGACGTGTGGGGGGCCGCACCAGACGGAGCGCTGCTTCGCCCGCCTCAACGATGCGTGGCGCACCCAGTTTCCTGGTGGGGGTGAGCTGCCGCGCTGGGCTGAGCTGCTCAGGAAGGGTGTTGATATTTGGGCACTGGACTTTGATGCTATTCTCACTGCCATGTATGCGATGTC